ATAATTCTTTACATCTCTGATTAGCAAACAGTTTTAGATGCATTAATTATTGAAATTCAAAACAATGAAAAATACCAAATAGCAGAACTTCCACATTGTTCACTAGAGCCGGACAACAGTGTTTGAAAATAAAATCTGAGATATTGTGATATCAGATTTTTTATTTTATTTTTTTCCCTTCCAAGAATCACTAAATCCATATTAATGATGACTGATCACAGCATCAAATCCATTATGGCTTCAATATTGTTGTTTCATCTACATTGTATGATTAAATTAAACCACAATTTCCCCATAGTGGGAGATTAAAGGTATTAAATAAAGGGAATAAAGTAATGCTTGGTTCTTGTAGAACTGTGCTTCAAATTAAGAAATAACTAATTTGTCCATATTAGCTTATATAAAAAGGTATTTAGAAAAAAAAAAGCAACCCCTTAAGTTCACCTATAGTTTGATGCACCAGTTCAACTTGAGCAGAAGGTTTTTGGTCTAAATCTATACCATATGTTAAACAGCTTGTTAACACATCTTTAAAACATTCTCTTTCAAGCTTTGGGCTTATTTGCTTCTGCTGCTGTTTAAACTCTGTTTCTGGTGTTTTTACTGTTTTCAGACTCTAAAGTGCCAAGATGGATCACTCTCTCTCTAGGTTAGCTTAGAAGGAGACCGGCTCATCACAGAAAGACTTATTTAAGACATTAAGATAACGGAAGCAGTTGCTGTCGCACAGGAAATGGACAAAATTACACAATCGAGTCCATAGATAAGAGTTGTTTCTTAGATCATTTGGGGAAATTGATGCAAAGCTTCTTTCATCTCTGTCAGATGGTATGGGGCCAAAATGGCAGCTTTAATATTTGCAAATGTGTGTGGAGAGTTGTGTGTCTGTATCTCGATTTGTGTGTGTGCAGTGGGATTTGAAAATGTGTAAATAAATCTGTAAATGTGTGAGGAGATTTGTGTGTCTGTACAACAATCTGCAAATGTGTAAAACTACTTGTGTGTAATCCGTTTTGCAAATGTGTAAAAAATCCACAAATCTGTATTCAGATCTGCAAATGTGTACTGAGATTTGCAAATGTGTAGATCAATCTGTAAGCACACACAGAGACACTTGTGTCTGAAGTATTTTCGCTTCAAGACCCAGAAATACAGACAAATCATTGGTTACAAGTCAAGCGGTTTTTCAGTTGGCTCTCTTTACAAACGTGATTTTTGCTACTCTTCTGCCGTGTGAGATGCACAAATGCGTAGAAGGATTTGTATGTGTATTTTCGCGATTTGTAACCCCTTGCGCAGGCTGGCAGGCTCACATGCTGCCCTGACCGCAGGCTCGCAGGCTCACAGGCTCACAGACAGCCTCTACCTTTTTTTTTCCTCCGCTGCGGGAGTTGACGTGACACGGATGATATATTGATACCATTCAGTAAGGAAAAAATTTAATCTATTATTAAACAAAAGGTTACGGAAAGATGGCAGAAGCTGTGGGAAGAGCATAGAACTGGAAGTTGGCTTTATAGTATTCAAAGGAAAATTGGTGAAATGAGGAGAACGGAAAGGAATAAAAAAGAGGTTATATCTAGATTAAGTTTCGGAAACACGGGGTTAAATGGAAACTTATTTAGAATGGGAACAGGAGGTTGTGGTTTTTGTTATCAAGGGGAGACGGTGGAGCATGTTTTGTTGTTTTGTTATAAATATTCTATGGAGAGAAGGGTTACAAGAAAATAAATTACAGTTAAATATACAAGATATTTTGGGGGGGGGGGGAAATCTACTTATGATTATTTTTGTAATTTGATAAACAATCCTGAAAAAACGAAATTGGTAGAAAGGATATAAGTTTATTTATGTAAATATTGTTAATATTTATTTTTATTTTTCAGTGGGAAAATACATAGCATCCCGATCCACACTCCACTGAAGTAGATGGTGGTAATGCACATCATAAAGTTGCTTGCCAACCGCCATAAAACAGAAGCAGAAGAAGAAACAGTTTTACTAATGCAAACTATAGGAAAAATTTAAGAAATATACTTACAGAAAGCTGACGGGATTCCATTGCTCTCAACTTAGCAGGTACAACCCCTAGGACCCCAGTAACGTCACGTACTGTACAATACCGCCAACTGGTGGTATGTGGCTGTATGTGAAGCAAGTTGTGCTGAACTGCCGCAGCAGAGAGAGGCTGTCTGTGAGCCTGTGAGCCTGCGATCAGGGCAGCATGTGAGCCTGCGAGCCTGCGCAAGGGGTTACAAATCGCGAAAATACACATACAAATCCTTCTACGCATTTGTGCATCTCACGCGGCAGAAGAGTAGCAAAAATCACGTGTGTAAAGAGAGCCAACCGAAAAACCGCTTGACTTGTAACCAATGATTTGTCTGTATTTCTGGGTCTTGAAGCGAAAATACTTCAGACACAAGTGTCTCTGTGTGTGCTTACAGATTGATCTACACATTTGCAAATCTCAGTACACATTTGCAGATCTGAATACAGATTTGTGGATTTTTTACACATTTGCAAATCTCAGTACACATTTGCAGATCTGAATACAGATTTGTGGATTTTTTACACATTTGCAAATCTCAGTACACATTTGCAGATCTGAATACAGATTTGTGGATTTTTTACACATTTGCAAAACGGATTACACACAAGTAGTTTTACACATTTGCAGATTGTTGTACAGACACACAAATCTCCTCACACATTTACAGATTTATTTACACATTTTCAAATCCCACTGCACACACACAAATCGAGATACAGAAACACAACTCTCCACACACATTTGCAAATATTAAAGCTACCATTTTGGCCCCATAGATGGGCCCAGTGTTTTTGATGTTGGCTTTGAACAAATCATTCTCTGCTTTACTGAAGCTCTAGGATTTCCTTTTGTCTTTGCAGAGCATGTACACTCTGTTAAAAATTGGAGGACATAATCTGTTTTAATGTTTTAAGTTTTTTTGACACTGTTAAACGGACCTGTTTTTAAAGTCGTAGGGAAATCATATTTAAATGTCAAATCATTGTGGCTTAAACATGTATGCAAATGTACTCTTTATCAGATGATATTGTCCCAAAATTTAGAACATTTCTATTTAAAAAAAGAATTACGTCTTTTTTTTTCTTTCTTTTTTTTGGTTATCTTCTCCAGGCCAGTTAGTTATGTCAGACTGAACACCTAAATTCGGCCAATCATATATCAACAGTCATCTGTCAATCAGATTTTTTCGGTCATAGCATCTTGATTCATATGTCGCAGCTAATATACGTGAAGGTTGAAATAAGAAATAAGAATAATTTCCTTTCCCATTGAGTTCCGTCCCAGTGTTCACAGGGATGAACGTCTGTGTCTTCAGCAGGCGTAGAGCTAACAGAACTGGCAGCGTTGCGAGGCAAGGGCTCAAACATGTACGGCTGTAAGCCTTCTACACCAAACCAAGCTTCTGCCGCCCTGGCGTCCTCTTCCACAACTCCACAACTCTTCCCCGCTTTCCTCCTCTAAATAAAAAATGGATGACAGAGGAGACTCATCCACGACCTCCGACACTAAACTCTCCTCCTCTTGCATGTTTCCTCTGTCCATAGCGTTCCTTGACAGTGTCGTTTCTAAGTCACCAATTTAGTGCTACTTGGTCCCAATGGAATTTCCCATTGGGAACCTACTAGCACTAAGTTGCTAACTGGTTAGCAAGATGCTTCCGGGACACCGGCCACAACCAAACTTACTTGCGAACCTTCTGCCACAACAACCCCGCCCCCTTGATAAACGACCAATCACATTCACTTTATTCACTCGTGTAAAGTCGTGCACCACTGGGGTCAATTCGGAAATTTAAACTTTAAAAAGTGACAAAGAGAAAAATATTATTTGAAAATGTAAAAAAAAACTATGAATGAATCAAAATGAAATAAAAAAAAAAAATTATAAACAGAAGTTACACAGAAAAACTCAATTTGATTAATATGAGGATGTAAAGTTTGATTTCTGGAATGCATTTCATCCATCTTAACAGTTATTCCAATCATTTAATTTGGATTTTGGCAAACTGACCAGACCGTGTCTACAGTATATGTGAACCGGGCTGCACAGAACTTTGAGGGTTTTAATTTCCTCCTGCTCTCTCATTTAAAACACCCTGCAGACTCAGCAACTCATGCTGCTTCTAATGATTGAAACTATGACGCCTCAGCCGCTCCTAAATCTGCCGAAGGGTCCATTCTGGGCTCTCAGAAGAGAATTGTCAGAACCAACACTTTAAGATGCTGTGTACAGAGTCGGGGGGTGGGCACAGCACTTCGTTAGTGGTTGTTTTGTGCTTCTATTTTGAATAACGCCTAAAAAAAACATAAAAAAAAAAAAAAACCCTATTGAAGTTGAGAAGTACCAGCGGTTTACGGCTCACTTCCTCCTGCCTGCTGTCATCGGCGACCGGTGACCTGGGCCTCGTCACTGTTGATTTCACAGGCAGATTACAACGCTGCCTCTTCTGCGTCACTTCTGTCCAAGATCGTCTGTGTCCTGTTTTCTCTTTCTGCAGTTATGCTTTGATTAGGAGAGCAAGCGCACACTTCACCGGTCATGGTGTTGATCTAGGAAAATGTCCACAACAAACAACCTCTTAAGCCCAGCAGCTGGTCCGGTCCTAGCTTTGAAGTTCTTTCTAGGTTTTGATCAAAGGAGATTGGATCGCCAAGAAACATTTAGGCCGAGGTCTGATGGTTTAATGGGACATAAAAGGTTAAAAAAATTTTAAAACTAAACTTAAAAAAGGTGACGATAAATCCTTGGTAGTTGGGTGTTGTGCCATGATTTATTTTCATACAGGAGGCGAAAATAGATCATTTTCCAGGCTGTTTCTTACTTTTTAAATAGATCAACCAATAGTTATCCTAAACTCTTTGTAAATAATAATAGATTGATTTTGGATGGCATGTTTTCCTTGTCATCTCTCCACTTCCTTACACCTTTTCCCTCTTTCTATGTGCAGGTTCTGTTGCATCTTTTTTGCCCTCGTGACCCCCCCGCCCCTTCGCCAAAATCAGGCTGCTTGATGTAACGGCGAGGCTGATCAGGAGAAGCCATCATGTCTTAAACGCAGACGGGCCCTCCGGAGCCCTGTCCCCCCACCCCGTCCCCCCTTCCCCCGCCCCCTCCCCCATCCACCACCTCACCCCTTCTCCCAGCCCCCTCCAACTCCCGCACCTCTCCTCACACCTACGGGACAGGCTGCCTAGCTCTGGCTCCCCCCCAGCACACCCCTCTCCTCCCGCCGGAGGGATGAGCCTAAAGAAGCACCAGCAGCTGGGGAGCGGAGGTAGTGGGGTCACAGGTTCTGACCGGGACCTGCAGTCCACCGCTTCCTCCGTCTCCCTGCCGTCGGTGAAGAAAGCTCCGAAGAAGAGGCGGCTCTCCCTGGCTTCTCTTTTTCGAAGAAGAAGCCGGCAGAGGTCAAAGGAACCCCAGCGTCCTGGGTCAGGAGGCCTTGCAGGAGTGGATGGCATCGCCAGCATTGAGAGCATCCACTCTGAGATGTGTAATGACAAGAACTCTGCCTTCTTCTCTGTTGGTGTGGCAGGAGCTGCCTCTTTCTCATCTGCCTTAGGGCCTTCCTCTTCTACCTCCTCCTCCTCTAAGATGGGAGTGGGAGCGGGGGCAGAGTTACTGGAGTGCCCACTGTGCCTTCTATGCCTCTCCAGGGAGAGTTTCCCCGACATCATGACCTGTCCCCACCGCTCCTGCATTGACTGCCTGCGCCAATACCTGCGCATCGAGATCTCAGAGTCACGCGTCAACATCAGCTGCCCCGAGTGCTCGGAGCGCTTCAACCCTCACGACATCTGCATGATCCTCGGGGATCGAGCTCTAATGGAGAAATATGAGGAGTTTATGCTGAGGAGGTGGTTGGTCGCCGATCCGGACTGCCGCTGGTGCCCTGCGCCAGACTGTGGGTAAGCAGTGGAAGAAGATTTATAACTTGAAACAACAAGCATGCAGAAGCTGATATGAGACGTTTGTATTCATGTTTATCGGAATATTAGCCTGCTGGTTTGTAGAACTTTTTATGAGCACATATTATGTCAGGCACCTCAACAGTAAAGTGCTTTATTATCTTATCACAAACACTTCTAACCACACCAGTTCTTTTTACTTTTCTACTTTAACGTAAACAAATGGACAGAACAAGGTAAGTTTAAGATAAATGAGAACTGCCCAAATGGGGAACTGATGTCAGTATCAGGGCTGGCTAATGGTCACATTTAGGAGGGAGGAAACTTCACCACTGGGCTTGTTGCACAAGTGGTATCACAAACCACACCTGTATTCACAGTGCGAGCAATGTTTGCTTGTTCAAACACCTTCAGTGTTGCAGATTTAAGAAAGATTAACATTTTATCTTTTCTATGTTGTTTTTTTTTTAAGCAGAATTGTGTTATTTGTCAATTTAGTACACAATTGTTGAAGTCCTGCTTTTATGTAAAACAGTTTAAATTTTTTTGAGATCCAAATACAAATTATGTTGACATTAGCCTGATCCTCCATATGTTCTACTGATGCGGTTTGGCTGATTCTGGAGCCGTTATTGCTTTTCTGCCTTCATTTACAGAATAAAAGATAACACCATGACAAATGTTACACGACTTATAATTTAAACAAATTTTAAACTTTTATTAAAGGAAAAGTCCTTTAATGGATTATTATCTATATATATATATATATATATATATATATATATATATATATTAGGGATGGAACGGTTTATGAAAACCGTCAGAACCGTTCTGTTCGACTGTCTCGGTTCGGTTCGCGTGTGTTTCGTTCGGTTCATGCGCTGCTTCTTTTTCTCATAGGCGAAGCATTTACACTCCAGAGCAGAAGGTGGCGGTACTGCGACCAAAGCCACCACCAGTAGTACACAAGAAGAAGAAGCGAAGCAGCGTAGCTGGGTGTAGCAGAAAAAAATCAGTTGTTGTGGAGAATCGTGTGGGTATGGCGAGTGGGAAAGAACAGGAGTTGGAAGACGCGCCAGCAGCACTTTATAGGTCTGCTGTATGGGACCACTTTGCATTTAGAGTGACCTACGATGACGGCAGAAAGAAAGTTGTGGATAAAAGTGCAACAGTGTGCAAGCATTGTGCAACACGTTTTGTTTATGCTAATGGCAACATGTCATGCTAACCCCAAAATCCCACATACTGCGTCAGCGCCCCGCCCTGCTGCGCTCCAGACCTCGTGCGCAAAGCAAAGCATACAGCCTCCACTGTGGCTCCCGTCCGCTCCGCTCTGAGTTCCTTGGAGATCGTAGAGGGCATGCGCGAGATGATTAAATTCAAAGCAGCAAAACATGCAGAAATGATCCAGGGTTTCCGCGGATCATTAAAAATAATTACAATTCATTAATTTTTTGGGATTTTTTTCATTAATTTCATTTATTTTTATGGCATTTCGGTGTAACAATCAACATATACTGAACTGAACCGAAAACCGTGACCACGAAACCGTGAACAGAACCGAACTGTGGATTTTGTGAACCGTTCTACCCCTAATAGATCTATAGATGCACATTAAATTAATCTGGTATGTATAAATGGGGAATGTATATCTGATAATTTTTGTTTCCTCCATATTGCAAAAGTCCAGATATTTCCTTCACCGCTCTCGTGGACCAGACCCAATATTCTGCTAGGAAAATGTCTGTTTTACACATTATACTTAAAACTAAAACTATAGTTTGCATTTATTTATTCTGCAAATGCGTAAACATGTTTTCATGACACCACAGAACTGTACGTTTTTATTTTATACTGCAGCACTTTGTATGATTCACCCATATCATGCTCTCTTTTTAATGCTTAATTTTCAAACTGCTTATTTTCTCTCCCATAGTAAAGCAATTGATTTTTTTTAAACCCTAAATCATGTTTTCTTTTTACCAGATATGCAGTCATAGCCTTCGGGTGTGCCAGCTGTCCAAAGATCACCTGCGGCAGGGAGGGCTGTGGCACAGAGTTCTGTTACCACTGCAAGCAGCTGTGGCATCCCAACCAGACCTGCGACGCAGCGCGGCTGCAGAGAGCTCAGAGCCTCCGGCTGAGAACGGTGCGCTCGTCCTCCCTCAGTTACAGCCAGGAGAGCGGAGCTGCAGGTGGGCTGTTCAACGTGGTAGAAAATGGCACATTTAGTCAACTGGAATATCAATGAAGAGCTCATTCAAAACAGCAAATGAAGCGAGTTATAGATCATAGATTTATTACACGGGCTGAGGTTTTCAAGCCTTTAGGATTTTCTGTTCATAGTAAAGGAAAACCATTTAAGATTACCGTTTATCATCGAACGTTTACACTTTAACATAAACATTATCTTTTTAAAATGTGTTTTTAAAGGAGAAGTCCAATCAGTGATAAATAATCAATTGATCATTATTATTACCTAAAACTAATACATTTGCTGTGATTTAATGAATTCAGCATTAATCAGTAAAAAAATGAAAACAATTTTCGTTGCGATCACAGAGTCTGGGAGCGGCCATTTTTGCCCAAATATAGTAACACCTCCCTCCTGAAAATTTTCAGCAGTGATGTCACGGTGCGGTAAGCCTAGCTTCTTTCGCCCCACTTTACAAGTAAAATCAATGGGAACCAGAGCATGAGAAGGGAGCGGAGCGCCACGCAAATACCGCTCCCTGCTCAGGAGGATGTTCGCTCCGTGCTCACCTTATTTTCCTGCCGCTGTTGCGAAATACCCCCACACTCACTTAAATTTTCAGGAGAAGGCATTTTCTGACATTTTTCCTTCATGGAATAATTTCAGGGCCCTGTGGGACACACGGCGTTTGATTTAATGATGACGGATACTTATTTAACTGGCAGTTAAATTAGCACACTGTTTTCCCAACTGTGAACATAACACCTTCATTCATGTTTCCCAGCGTTTACTATTTAAAAATTAATTGTCCAAAACATCACACTTAAATCAAATAAATGCGTGAACTGGAGCGGAGCGAAATCCTCGCTCGTAGACAGAGCTGCAATCAACAACAATTACTGAAGATTTCCAGAGGACTTCACCACTGAAATTCACCAGAGCTATAGTGAAACTGACAATGACCACGGGCATGGCAGCTGGATGTTGGAATACATCGGGTAAAAGTGAAAAAAACATTTCATTTTCCCAATTCCTGATCCTCCACGGACGGGTTCGTCGTTGGATTGCCAACTTGAAGAGGGAGGATTTGCCATCGAACTTCTGGCCAGAGAAAAACACGTAATATGTAGCCAACATTTGGAAGAAGAATGTTTTCAAGATGACTTGGATAATAGCGCGTTGTGACAAACACCAGATACAGCACTGGGACTTGATCAACAGCCGATACCGCACCGTGACGTCAAAAACCAGTAGGTGGCAGTAGTGTTCTTTGACAAACATGGATGCCTCCAGTAAAGCACATTCACAAGAAAATTCCTCTGAATTAAAAACATCATTTATTGAACAGTATGGAATAATTTCATATTTAAAGTACTTTCAGAAGTTTGAATTCTGAATATGACCGGACTTCTCCTTTTAAGAATGTTTAAAAGTCTTTTTAAGAATGTATTTAATATGACTCCATAGCCGCATTATGATTAGTGCAGTTCTATTTTTTTTTTTTTTTACGTTTCTCCATTCCTCCTACGTCAAAGGAGCGGAGTAATGTTTGTTGGGGACTAAAGCATATTTTAATTTTTTTAGTTTATTGCCTGTTAGACCATTTCAATGTCATTGTTAAACATTTGTAAATAGGGAGCTCAGCAGAGGCAGCTGCATCCTCTGTGCTGTATTATGACAGCTGACCAATGTCTCAGTAACACGTCTTTTTTGTTAAGTGGACTCTCTCTAATTTTCCACTCGTACGTCGTGTTCCGTCTGTTGCAGCCGACGACATTAAACCCTGTCCTCGCTGCGCCGCTTACATCATCAAAATGAATGATGGCAGCTGTAACCACATGACCTGTGCCGTCTGCGGCTGTGAGTTCTGCTGGCTCTGCATGAAGGAGATCTCAGACTTGCACTACTTGAGGTAAGAATTTCGGCTTGAGTCCAAAATATTGACAAATTGCACAACAACACAGGGTTGACATTTCCCTTTCTTTCTTTAATCTGATTCACTGCAATGCTTTTAAATGACTGGGTATGAAAACAGTAATTTCATTGCCTTGACCAGAGCTGCGTTATTTATTATTTCACATGATGGTTAGAGAGTATGCAGCAAACGTCTTCAAACTTGAAAACAAAGTCCAGTGGATTGTTTTCTAGCTTTTTTGGAATCTTATTTTCTGTCTCCCTTTCTGTTTCCAATGTTGTTATTGATTGATTTATAAAGCGATGACTCATTTTCTCATTTGCCTGCTTCAGTCCGTCAGGATGCACATTCTGGGGGAAGAAGCCGTGGAGCAGGAAGAAGAAGATCCTTTGGCAGCTGGGGACTCTTGTGGGCGCCCCTGTTGGAATCGCACTGATTGCTGGGATTGCGATCCCCGCCATGATCATTGGTATACCTGTATATGTGGGAAGGAAGGTGAGACGTCAAAGACACAGCTTCACTATGTGGATTCATCCTTTCATGACGTCCAACCAGCAGCTAAATCCTTATACTTAGTGATATCTATTGTGACAGATGTTTTCACCCTGAATGCTCTGACCTCAATGAACTAGAACTACTAACTGATCAAAAGTTTGTCTTCTGAGTTTCTGCCAAAAGCCAGAAAATCAGAAGATGACTTGGTTAATTACAAATATACCACAAGAAGAAAGAAAACCTGCAACTCTGTCAACTTAGTTATATAGAGGTAAAGTTATACTGGGGCCGATACGCTGACCAATAATAAAAAATCCGGTCAGCAAGGAAGAATCAAAGGATCATTATTTATACCTAAAACTAATACGTTTTCGGTGATTTAATGAATTTAGCATTAATCAGTAAAAAAGTAACAATTTTCGTCACGATCACTGAGACTGGGAGCGGCCATTTTTGCCCAAATATAGTAACACCTCACTCCGGAAATTTTTCAGCAGTGACGTCACGGTGCGGTAAGCCTAGCGCCTTTCACCCCACTTTACAAGCAAAATCAATGGGAACCAGAGCATGTGAAGGGAGCGGAGTGCCACGCAAATACCGCTCCCCGCTCAGGAGGATGTTCGCTCATTCGTACAGCCGCTCAAAGTTGTTCCAGGACGCTCCTCTCAAAATCCACTCCACGCTCTAATTTTCCTGCTGATCCGGCGAAATCGCTCTTAGACACATCTGCAATCAGCAACAATTATTGAAGATTTCCAGAGGACTTCACCATTGAAATTCACCAGAGCTATAGTGAAACTGACAATGCCCACGTCCATGGCAGTTGGATGTTGGAATATGTTTGGGTAAAAGTAAAAAAACATTAGTTATTGATCTTTCCGATTCCTGATCCTCCAACTGATTGCTAACTGGAAGAGGAAGGATTTGCCATCAAACTTCTGTCCAGAGAAAAAACACGTAATCTGTAGCCAATATTTGGAAGAAGAATGTTTTCCAGATGACTTGGATAATAGCGCGTTTTGACAAACACCAGATACAGCACCGGGACTTGATCAACAGCCGATAACGCACCGTGACGTCACAAACCAGTAGGTGGCAGTAGGGACGTAAATCACACCTATCATGGCGATTTGATTCAGTAGCAATTTTCTGACCCAATGATTCAATTATTTTTGATACTCAAGAATACATCACGATACAATTCGATTAAATTGTTATTTTTATTTATTTTTACCTTACAGGCTAGACAATGATTCAAATTTGAAACAAATCAATGAAAGCTGTAATCTCGTTATGCATTTTATTTGAGAAACAACAGAAAATAACAGAAGTAGCAAAGTTATACTCCACCTATGCCTATGAAAACTTCATTTACTGAAAAATAATATCTCTGTGTTTACGTGAGTGGGCGTGTGCAAGCGGAATGACGGTAGTGGCTAAAGGAAGCGAGGTATGAGGGCAAAATAGGTTTGGCGCCACCGCAGAACGGGAGTCAGAATTACGTCCAGGAGCAAATGGATAAAAATAGACCGGAGGAAAAAAAAAAACATGAATCAATACTCTTGCAGACGTGTCGATGAATCGGATCGTCGGCTGTTGGATCGATGCATCGATACAAAACCATTATTATTTACACCTCTAGGTGGCGTTAGTGTAATTTACATTCAAATGAAAATTACTCTTAATTAAAAACACTTATCATTTATTGAACAGAATGCAATAATTTCCTATTTAAAGTACTTTCAGAAGTTTGAATTCTGAATACGACCAAACTTTTCCTTTAATACTCGATGTTTTGAGCCAGCTGGTTTCTCATGTCTGGGCCCTTCAGCTCAACACAGTTCTCTCCTGTCAGATCCATAACCGCTACGAAGGAAAGGACATTTCCAGGCACGAGAGGAACCTGGTGATCGCTGGCGGAGTGACCCTGTCTGCCATCGTGTCTCCTGTCGTGGCTGCAGTCACTGTCGGTCAGTCTGTTCTGAACCTCTCTCTAACATCTCTGCTTCTTGTTTAACTCTCAGCATCATCCTCTGCTGTTTCAAACCAGCGTCTCCCTGCATCTTACCAGTAGTAGCCATTCAAAATTTCCCCACTCTCCTTCATGGGTCTTTGGCTGGTTCTCTAAGATTCAATTTAAAACATCAATCCTTCTACTAAAATATTCTTTATGTCATGATTTGTGGAATTAAGATCTAAAGCGAAGCGTCATCTCCTGGTCAGACCCTGTAATTGAGTGAAAAGGTGAAGTCAGAGTTAGAAAATATGCAAGAGGGGGTCACTCCTATGGCTGGACGTTGGAGGGGATTTTGCTGGGAGTTGCAGGGATGTGTGCTGCCATTCCACTGGCATTTGACTGGGAAGGGCCATTTTGAATGGCTGCTGCTGTAAATCCTTGGGCTGCCTGTTTCTCACCCAGCTGTCTCTTCCTATAAGGCATCGGAGTTCCCATCATGCTGGCATACGTGTACGGCGTGGTGCCCATCTCTCTGTGCCGCAGTGGAGGTTGCGGCGTTTCGGCCGGGAACGGCAAAGGAGTTCGCATCGAGTTTGACGACGAGAACGACTTGAACGTGGGCAGCGGGACCGGCACTACGGGTTGGTTTGATTGTTGCACCTCAAAACTTCTTCATCTCCGGCTGCATTATCAGCTGACATGCTAATGGCCCTTAATATAAACATCCAGAGAGAAACTTTGTTTACAAAATAAGACAATGTGTTTAATAAATGGTAAAATGGACTAATTTCACACTAAAATGCTCAGAGCATTAACATCCTTGTGTTGTAAACAAGAACACCCAATAAAGTGAACGACAAACCGACACCTCTTTACAAGTTTGAGCTGCTGTGGTTTAGCTGGTTAACTGTCACAGTGTTTAGATGATTATCTCCAAAACTAGAAGGCCTGCATTTTAAAACCCTTTCAACTGCTGAGCAAGATATGCAAGATGGAAGATGTACTTTTGATAGGCGAAGCTGTTAAGGTCAAATTAGAGGAGTGAAGGTCTCCCGGCAACATATCCTTCCTTTTGTGGATCCTAGAAGCTTCTCCAGAGTTTCTGTGATTGTTTAAACGTCAGAAATTGATCTAAAATTAAAATCTTTGCTTCATTTAAGGAGGGAAGAAAAATTGACTATTTTGCATATAACAAAATTCTATATACTTTACTTAAAGTCGTAGGGAATTCGTATTTAAATGTCAAATCATTCTGGCTTAAACATGTATATAAATGTACTCTTTTTCAGACAAAGATCTTAAATAAAAAAAAAAAATCCTGTCTTAAAATCTGTGGGTTTTTTCCGTTATCTTATGCAGGCCAGTTAGTTATACGTCAGTCTGAACACCTAAATTCGGCCAATATTATATCAGTGGTCATCTATCAGTCAATTCTTTTCGGTCATAGCATCTTGATTCATATGTCGCAGCTAATATACGCAAAGGTTGAAATAAGAAATCAGAATCATTTCCTTTCCCATTGAGTTCCGTCCCAGTGTTCACGGGGATGGACGTCTGTGTCTTCAGCAGGCGTAGAGCTAACAGAACTGGCAGCGTTGCGAGGCAAGGGCTCAAACATGTACGGCTGTAAGCCTTCTACACCAAACCAAGCTTCTGCCGCCCTGGCGTCCTCTTCCGCAACATCTTCGTCCCCGCTTTCCTCCTCTAAATAAAAAATGTATGACGGAGGAGACTCATCCACGACCTCCGACACTAAACTCTCCTCCTCTTGCATGTTTCCTCTGTTCATAGCGTTCCTTGACAGCGTCGTTTCTAAGTCACCATTTAGTGCTACTTGGTCGCAATGGAATTTCCCATTAGGAACCTACTAGCACGAAGTTGCTAACTGGTTAGCAAGATGCTTTATTCACTCGTGTAAAGTCGTCCAACAATCAGGAGAATTTGGAAATGCAACGGTTGGAACAGCCGCTTCCCTACGACTTTAGAGTAAGATAATGGAGATATGTTCTTATTTTAGGTGAGAAATTCTTTAATTTTCAGATTATGTTTACCTAATTAAATGGAATGCAAATAGACTCATTTCAGAAAATGTGACGGTTTGAGAAGTGTTCATAAAGGTTGCTGAGATTTTTCTTTTGTGCCTCCTCCTCCTCTTAGACACCACATCAGGAGCAGACACCAGGAACAATCCCAGCATAGGTGAAGGCAGTGTGGGGGGGATGACGGGCAGCCTGAGCGCCAGCGGCAGCCACATGGACCGCCTGGGAGCCGCCAGAGACAACCTGAGCGAGACGGCGTCCACCATGGCTCTGGCCGGGGCCAGCATCAGCGGCAGCCTGTCGGGCAGCGCCATGGTTAACTACCTGCACAGGTGCTAAAAGCGCTCGTTAGGCGCATCTTTCTATCGGTTCTCCTCTAATGTGTCCCTGCCTCTCATGGTTGTCAGGATGGAGGTTCAGGCTGACGTGCAGAAGGAGCGCTGCAGTCTCAGCGGAGACTCTGCCACCGTCAGCCTGGCTACAATCAGTGATAACGCAAGCACCAAAGCCATGGCCGGCTCCATCCTGAGCGCCTACATGCCTCTGGACAGGTGAGCCTCGCTTTCATGTCCTTCTCTGACATCCATTCCATCTGATTACTGAATTCTGCCTTTTTTCCTCTCTTTCCAGAGAGGGAAACAGCATGGAGGTCCAGGTGGACATCGAATCCAAACCTGCCAAACGGCGGCACCACAGCGGCAGTAGCAGCGTAGAGGACAGCAGCAACGCCGGCCGCTGCACCTGGACCAACCCCCCCGCCGGCTGTAGCTCCTCAGAAGGCAGAGGGAGCGCGGCTAAGTGGGCCAAAGAGGCATCCTGCTCCTCCTCTTCCAGCTCCGGGGGCAAAAAGAGCAAAGGCAAGCTGCGCAAGAAAGCAGGCGGAGGAACGAAGATCAACGAGTCGCGGGAAGACATGGACGCCCAGCTTTTAGAGCAGCGCAGCACCAACTCCTCCGAGTACGACTCCCCGTCACTGAGCGGCAGCTTGCCCTCTGTGGCCGACTCGCATTCCAGCCACTTCTCAGAGTTCAGCTGCTCCGACCTGGAAAGCATGAAGACGTCTTGTAGCCATGGCTCCAGCGGCGGGGACTACCACCCTCGCTTCGCCACCGTCAGCCCCTTACCGGAGGTGGAGAACGACCGCCTGGAGCTGTGCCCCGCCTCTCTGGCTTCCTCCCAGTCCCCAGCCTCCACCTCCTCCCCCCTGGGTAACGGCGCTCAGTTTTCTCGGCTCGGCTGCGTTAGAGACGATAACGTTAACCCCGCGTGTCCCAGCGAGCCGGACTCCTGCAGCAACACCGGAGAGCTTTTAAAGGAACAGAACAACAATCATCATCAGGAGGAGGAGGAGGCGCCGCAGACCAAGAACTCCAGCATACAGACTGATATTTAATAAAGTCCATCCCTGAAGTGCTGCTCTCATACTTTATACACAACCTCCTTTAACCCAACAGCTGCTGCTGATGGTTTAACCTGCAGTTTGGGCTTTTTCATAGAAAGCAGCATTTGAGTAAATCTGATCTGTGGTTCTATCAGATGCTAGAAAAGGCTTCAATAGATCAGCTTTCTGAAAGTATTAACTTCTTACCTAAAGCTCCTCTCTGATTGGCTGCTGCGCGTCAATCAGGTGTTTGGGTTTTAGTGGGGACCAGGCAATATGTTGATTTCTTTTCTTTTATTTGGGATGTTCCCAATCCTCAGCACTAAAATAAACCTTAAACAAAGCTTTTTTTTTTTTTTTTGCTGGAGATGATGATCCGCTGCTTTTCCTCGTAGTTTGAGACGTTTAGTGCCAACATAACATGGGGCAGATCCCGCTCTGGGATATTATAGCGAGCTGATTGTTTTTTGGAGGGGGCGGGGTCTCTGGAAGGCCGCGGTTGTAGGAGTTGATGCTAACCAGTGGGTTTAGAGGTGGTTTAGCTCAGCCTCACTGAGAGCTTTGAAATCTCGACTCACGGTGCCTTCAGGAAGCTGCTTGGGTTTGTCTCCTGGACTTCCAGGACAATGTTTTCCGGACGACAGTCTGTCTGTCTGTGGCGCACACTGAAGACTTCTCAACAGCCTACCAAAGACGGCACTCAGGCTCTTGTTGGTTCTGTCTCAGCTGCCGGCAGTCACATGCATCCTGTTTTTCTTTTCCATTGCAGGGCTTAGTGAAGGCGTGACCCAGGGTCACACATCCAGCCTAATCGTTTTGTTTTTTACTTGTTCCACTGAAGCTAAGTAATTAGCTGAAGCTGCCCAGCAGCTCCAGGCACCTTCACTGATGCACAAACCTTCAGTCTGTCTCGCTGAACCCTCCTGGTCTGGATTCCAGTTTGTGTTGCCAAACGGTGCTGCTGAGCAGACATAAACTATGTTTTATTTTTTTCCCCAGAGTTTTTGCTCAGCCTATTTCCTGAGCTGGTTCAGGTGAGCCTCTACCAGCAGCGGTTCTGACCCAGCTCACTTGGTTCTGTGGATGAAGCCTAATTGCTGCACTTCTCCCTTCATAAGATGGAAGATTTTTTTTGTTGTTTGTTTCCTTCTTCCGTCATGGTTTTTAACCAAAAAAAAAAACGTTTTGGTTGTAATTTGCACACTACTGCCAGATAAAACTGGTCATTAGTGCACCATGGGATAAAGGTGTTTGTATATTTGTTTGGGGGATTTGCTTTACTATATGCGTGTAAATGCATATCGACAAAAATAAAAAAATATATATCAAATGTCTGGTTTCTTATATTCAGTAAAAGAACACAACATGAAAGTGATTTTCTTTATTGAATAGGCCTCTGTATTCTGTACAGATAACTTTACTGAAACATACAATTTAAACTACAAACTAAAGGTTTTTATTGCCTCTTGCCCCCAGTTTGGGTCCCTGACTTTAACTCTGTACATTCATGAAGAACAAAACCTTTTAACATTCAGGAAGCTCTCTGTTTAGGACAAAAACATTCTTATGAACAGTTTTAAATTAGAAAAGAAGTGCTACCGGTATTTGAATGTTGTCAGTAAAACATGTAAAATCTTGGATGCAAAGGTTGTTTAAAATTTGACTCAAGTGAAGAATTAAATTACTGGAATTAATATGATGCATTTGGACAAACTTTGGAGCTTCGATAAAGAGGAGTGTGCAGAACATTTACCCGGTGGATCGTCTTGACCCCCCCAGGCTGAACTTTAAGGACACGTCTCCCTTGAAGCAGGAATTCTTCATTTAACTTCTTATTGCATAGATGTTTAAGCAGAATGAAGCAATGTGTTTTTTTTAATGATCTTTTGGTCTGTTACAGACAGAAATGGATATATATTTAAACATCTTTTTTGGTCTTTTAGGTTATCTTCAATAGTTCAGTGACAAAAGGTTGTAGTTTCCTTAAGCAGCATGGGCACTGACGACCTCTAAACATGGCTGATTTACAACAGCCACATGTGTTACATGACTGATTTGAAGAGCTTCCCGGACCAAATAAACAGAAATCAGTTCTGGGAACAGGAGCTCCTCTTATGTAATCCCAGAGCAGTGGGAGAAAACGCTGGCCTGCTTTCGGCCGATCCCACGCTGCACTTTGGACCGTGTTTGATAATTTGCAAAGTAAAAAACGATCCAGATGAACACTTAAAGTCAAATCGGTGCTGGTACATAAAATCTGCATAGCAAAAAACAACAGACACCCTCAGCTTTCACTCAGAATCAGTTCCTTGGTGCTTCTGTGGAAACATGGAGGCTGTTCTGAGCCTGATGATGCTTAGAGCCAGGATTGGAGATGCAGCAGAGGGTGAAGGGGGGGTCAGACGTATTTGTTGGCCAGATTGTGAACGTCACCCTGGGTGAACTCTGAGCTCTCCACAGCTGAAAGACGCTCAAAGAGCTGAGTCACGGAGCGACGCTCGTGGTCCTCCAGCTGCATGAAAACGACCTGCAGGCAGAAATTACTTGTTCAGAACCAGAACCTCAGATTTACCGATATTTTATGTTCCCCTCCTTACCTGGAACCGGTCAGCGGTGTGCAGGCGCTCCAGATGCCGGTAAACCAAGTTAGGGTTTTTTCCCAGTAAATGCGAGTCAAGTGCCTTCATGATGAAGCCGATCGTATGTCCGTCCAGCTGGTTGCTAAGATACCGAGGGAGCAGTTCTGGTTCTATGGACGCCAGCAGCTCTGCGCAGGCGGCCGTGTTCCCACTGCAGCGTGCTGCGTTCAGGGACTGGCCGAACTCGTAGGAGCTGCCGGGTGTGAGGTTGATGCTGAGGTCATCCCTTCTGTTTGGAACGTCGGGCGTCTCCTCGTCACCGTCTACCTGTGGCAGCAGAGGGGCGGTTTATCACGGTTTGTATGCATGAAAGAGAGACTTTAGATCCACCTCTAATAAAACAAAGACGTCGTAATGTTGACGTTCAATAACAAAATCTACAGCTGGATTTATAGTGTTTAATCATTTAATGTGCCTTTTCAAGCCTTTATTTCTATTGATTTTCTGCTTGCAGGCAAAGAAAAGACGTTTAAGGTTAGAATAAGTATGGAGTGAATTTTGTTCAATCAATTTTGCAAACAAAAATTTAATTTTTATTATTGAAATAAATAAAAGAATAAAAGAAATCCAGAAAGAAAACTGAAAAACCTCTTAATCAAAAGTTAGGTAATTAATCTTGTTTTTTTTTTTCTCTGCATGGTTATTTATTATATTTTATTTATTCTTTTGTGTAGAATTTAATTTTTCATATTCTTTTTTTCCCAAATGTTTTACAGATCACATTCTCCTCACTTTAAGCCACATAGAAATAGTCACAATGATCAATAGAAATGTATCTGCAAAAAAAAATTTTAATGAAAAATTCTGAACCACCATTGGTTATTTATTAATAGCAAGTTATTCTCAAAACATTTTTTAAATGTTTCTCAAACATTTTTTCTGGAAAACCCTTTTTTTCCATTCACAAAACATGTTCTTTGCTCAAACAACAATGGAAGAAATTTGCTCCATATATCAGATTACATAAACAAAACTTTGGGTTTGATTAAATGTATTTTTAAAACTCAGTTAAAGGTTTTTATTTCAAAAGGTTCCTTTTAGACAAACATCACAGAAAGCTGTGGGATACAATCTCATTGTATCCTTTATAATTAGCTAATCCTTTAATTCTGACTTGGGAGGAAGCCACGGTGGGTCAGCGTGAGCAGAGACGTTGCTGTGAGGTCCTTCATGACACTACAGAGAACTGTGGGTGTACCTCTGTGATGGGGACAGCCTTCCTGGGTTTGTCGTTCACGCTGTTGGCCAGACTCTGTCTGAGCAGAACCGTGACCTCCTCCAGCTCCTTCTCAGCCTCCTGCACGTTGGGGTCCAGCCGTAACACCTCCTGGAGATCAGAGCTGCAGGCCAGGTAGTCCTGAAGGAGAACAGACGGCTGTTGAGTGGAGGCATTCGTTTTATGACAGGAGCGCTTTGTTTACATCTATGTTTTCTATCTCTGCTTCTGTCTCCTTGAACCTCAGTCGGCCTCAGCAGATGGCCGCTCACACTGAGCCTGGTTCTGCTGGAGGTTTCTGCCTGTTAAAAGGGAGTTTTTCCTCTCCACTTTCACTACAAGCATGATTAGTGTGAGGGATTGCCTTTGAGTCAATGAGTCAATGTAATCAGCTGGTTTTCCTTAGATAAAAACTTTAAACCAATCGGACTGGATCATCTGGTGAACTGTAAAGTGCCTTGAGATGACATGTGTTGTTAATTGGAGCTATAGAGATAAACTGAATTGAATCTGTTCACCTTGAGGCCTTTATTAGCCAGGGCTCGTCTGTAGAAGGCCTTCTTGTTGTCTCGCTCCAGTCCCAATGCGGCGTCACAGTCCTGCTTGGCCTCCGTGAACCTCTCCAGCTTTAGGTAGCACAGAGCTCTGGAATCAGACCCACAGAAACTCATTTTCTGTCACCAGCAAATGTCTTCAAACCCCTTGAACTTTTTGTCCTTATTCAAATCACAAAAGTTTCGGTATTTTATGTTTATGCCCCTAACAGAATTTTCCAATTATAACTCTATGACCCTGCAGAGGAAAGACAGCCTACAGACGGACGCTGACAGCATGATGTGTTCAGGGAGTTATGGAATGTTCATTTTCTATCATAAATGAGCAAGTATTTCCATTTTGGTCTTGTCTGACCAGAGCGCCTTGTTCCACGTCCACAGATGTTACAACCATAGGTCTGAACCAAACAGTCCTCTTTCAGCTGCTTCTTGGATTAGCTCTGTTGTTAGCTTTGCAGCTTCCACACCCTTTAAAGCTGATGATGATGATAATGAAGAACGGTGGGATGTTCAAAGAACCCAGCCCTGAATTTCCACCTGCTTTGCTTTCTCATCATTTTGGTGTTGAATTGCATAAATTCTACCACAAATCTGAGCTCCTCACAAAACTGATGCTGGACTGTTTTTTTTTTTTTGTGGTTATATTTAGAAATATCATAATAAAGATCTTTTAAGTTTAAAACCATTCTTTCTTTTCTATCTACTTCCTAATTATATACGACTCTGTCTACTATGACACCCTAATAAAATACGGGGTATAAAAGGTCGGCGTAGAAACCTGAAGGGATCGATTTCCTCACAGTGGATTAAATCAATGTAAATCCCTTTATTGTCCCTCAACGGGGAAATAAACTCTCTGCATTTGACCCGTCCCCTTGGGGAGCAGTGGGCTGCCATTGTGCGGCGCCCAGGGAGCAGTGTGAGGTTAAGGGTCTTTGCTCAGAGACCCAGGGTTCAGGTTGTGGGGATCAAACCGGTTACTTGTGCGCTACTCTAACCCACTAGGTCAGGGGTCGGCAACCCGCGGCTCTTTAGCGCCCCGCTTGCGGTTCCCTGAAGCTTTTCAAAAAATGTATGCGAATACATTGTTTTTCTTTGTTTATTTTAATATGGTAAGCAGGAGGTTAAACAAACATTCATTATGTTTTCCAATACTTTTTTAATTTGTATAATAAATAAATGTAAACAATAAATGAAAACTTTTCTTTCATTGATTCTTTCGACAGATTTTGTTTTGTGTTTTGGTCCATTATGGGTTTTTGAGCAGGTTGGGTTGCAGACCCCTGTTCTAGGCCAACACTCCCCCTTTAAAAAAAACTAAACAAATTCCACTTTTAATACTATGACAATTAAAAAATCACTCTAGATCTTCCTAACTTATAAAATATAGAATTATTCGCTAACACTGGAGGTTCTTTCAGTCCTTAAGTTTCCCTTTCTCACCTATAGGTGGTGTAGATGTGGCGCCTTCATTAAGAATAAGCTTGATATTAATTCTCAGGACTGAGAACTAATCTGTTTTTTGTTTGCTCATAACATTATTAAAGTCCAAATGATCCAGTCAGAACTGTAGGTCACAGAGTAAAGGATTACTGCTGCAGATTTGGCAAAAATAAGACAGAACTATAGAAATATTTCAGAATATTTAAAGTTTAAAATTGGCGATTTAAAAAAAGAAAAAGAGAAAAAAACTTACATCTAATAATTTCTTGTCTCTAAACACATTTTCCAATAACTGCTTCCAAGCAGCTGCCTGGAGGTAAATGGATGTTTATAATCTTTAGACAGAAAAAACTATTTTCACAGCAGTTTGTGACATATGCAAACAGGATCACACAGCGGGACGTTTATTCCTCTGCTTATTCCCAGCAAACTGACATCTAGAGAAAAACGCAGCAGAATGAGAGTGAGATAGAGGAGGATGTCTCTAACCTGTTGGTGTAGATCGCACACTCCTTTGGCTTTAGTTTAAGGCATTCTGTGTACTTCCCCAGAGCCTCCTGGTACTGGCCCTTCTTCACAAATTCGTTCCCTTCTTGCTTCAGAGCTGAAAAGCGGATCTCTGCTCTCCTCTCTACAACACAAAAGGCAGAAGTGATTACTTAACATTGATTACTCACAGACAGAGCACTTCCATTTGCCTCCCCTTCATCGTTATAAATCCAACTGAAAGGACATTTTAATTGGCCTCCTTTTCACAGAATGCTTTGCTAGCTGGACACTCGGCGGAAGAGTTTAGTCAGCAGTCAGTCACAGGCGGAAGCACAGGCTAATCAATCAGCTGCAGAGATTCTTCAGGGAGGGAAAACTGTGCCGGCAGCTCTATTCTTGATTAAAGGTTATTAGCAGCTGAAGCAAAACCTGGGGAATGATAAAAAGCATGGTCAGACCACACAGGTTGCACTTATATTGTGAGTCGCAAACCTATGGAAATACCTCTTGAACTTTTTCACATTTATTTTTTGTTACAGCTACTGATTTCAGTAAATATGTCTATAGATGTTTCTCCCTGGCTCCTTGGCTACACTGTGGCTCTACCTTTCTTATACCTCATCCAAAATACTCTGGTTATCCTGAGCTATTTTCTGCATTTGTGCTGCTATAGGCTTAGACTTCTGGAAGACATAGGGACCCATTTTCATCATTCTGCTTCATTCTATTCCTTTCTCCCATTCTACAGTATTTATTAGTTTATGCTCTCTCCATGGGCGGAGCTAGATGGGTGGCCAGGGGTGGCCATGGCCACCCTTAGCCAATCATTGGCCACCCCTGTGGCCACCCCTAGCATTTTTTTCCTCTAATACAGATGGTGGCAGCAGTAATACTCTAAAGGGGAATTTTCAAACTTATTAAACATTTAAATGTTTCATATATTAATAATTACTTGACAACAGAAACACTGTTGTTAATCACGCACTCCAATATACTAATATTAAAGATAATAGATACAGAATTTGTCCTCTTTTCAGAACTAAATTTTGAATTATTTGGGGTAAAGATAAAATGATGTGCCTCTGAAAGTCATCTAGGAGTCTTCAGTGAAATCCTAGATAAATAACTACTTTAATAATAACTTAAAAATGTATTAAATGTGGATATTAGTAGATTTAAATATATATTTTTTTGCAGAATGATTATTGATAAAAGTAGGTAATGACTGTAAAATATGTTCGCCCAGCACTCAAACCTGAAAGAATTTTCCCAATATATCGTTTATTTAAACAGCATAGATGTTTAAATATATGCGTCTATGTGTTAGCAAAGGCTGCAGGAAAGGATAGTTTGTCTTTATTTAGAAAATATGGATGTTGTGCTCGTTCCTGTTGAAATAGTGTAGACTGACCCTGAGGTTCTGGTGCCTTTCGGCCACCCCTCGATGTACATTGCTTATTGACTGGCTGGATGTGCTCTCTTCATCCTCTGACATGGGAGTTGGCTCGGAGCTCGTCTGCCTGGCTGTGTGTTTCCTGGACGTGGCCGCCTGTGGAGCTGGTTGAAAGTTACCTTATGTATCTATGCTACTGTCTCTTTAAACCCCAGTCGCCTCGGCAGATGGTCGCTCACACTGAGCCTGGTTCTACTAGAGTTTTCTTTCTGTTAAAAGGGAGTTTTTCCTCTCCACTGTCGCTACAAGAATGCTTGGTTTGAGGGTTTGCTTTCGAGTCAATGAGTCGATGTAATCAACTGGTTTTCCTTACATAGAAAACTTTGAATCAATCTGACTGTATGATCTAGTTGAACCATCTCTGTAAAGTGCCTTGAGATGACATGTGTTATAAATATTTGCTATATAAATGAACAGAATTTTAAAAATTTGAATAATTGTGAAGGAAAAATCATTGAACCACTTCTGTACATTTTTACAAGGATTTGTTTGATTATTGTTGCAAAACGTTTTGTTAATCAAATAAAAGAGTTTTGTGAATAAAAATAAAGATTAAAAATGTAATAATTCAAAGAAAATGCAATTTACATATTAAACCTTGAAAAACTTTTGAATTTTCCAAGGTTTTATGTTTACAAAATTTTTTCCTTTTTTTTTTCTCCATATTTTAGTTTAACTTTTTTTGATCTCTATATTTCAGGTTAAGTTTTATCGATGAAATTTTATCGACTGTAATTTTATTTATTTTTTACAGATCATATAGTCTTCACTTCAAGTCCAAAACAAACAGTCGCTCTCGACACACATTGATCAATAAGAGGTTGCTAGCGTCCATGCAGCCACAGGCTTCAATGTATTTCATTGGATTTAAAGTTTGGAATAACAATGACATGGAAGGAAATAATAAACCATTTCTGTGTTTTCAAATACTGGATACTGGTGTGAAGTTCCTTTTTTTTGTGTTCAGGTATGGAATGGATTCTGTTCCAATTTTGTTGCAAAGAACATGTTTTATAAATGTTAATGGAGAAAAACATGTTCACTGTTTTCTCAGGCTCTATATTTTCATTTTTTTCCCCACTTTTCTTTCCATATTGTATTTTAAATTTTTTTTTTCAAATTTTATATTTTTTTACGTCTCTTTTTCAGATTAAGTTTTATAAGTTGCATACTTTTTCAGTTCACATTCTCTTTAAGGCCAAAACAGATGCTTGCTTGATGCACACATTGACTAATGTTGTTGCTAAGATCCATGCAGACCAATAGAAACGTATCTTTGCTCCTCACTCCAGAGTAGGGTGACCAGACAGTCCCGAATTCTAAGCTTTTGTCCCGCATTTGTCTGTGCATTACCCGAAATTTGAACTTATACCAAATAATAACTTTTTAACCCAAGGTACACCTCTCAAACTATTTGCTACTGCCGCCTGTGCCGCCCCAATTATGTTAAAGTCATAGGGAAGTCATATTTAAATTTCAAACCATTCTGGCTTCAACATGTATATAAATGTAGTCTTAATCAGACCATATTGTCCCAAAAGTTAGAAAATTTCTATAAAAAAAAAAAAATCCTGTCTTAAAATCTGTTTTTTTTTTTTTCGTTATCTTATGCAGGCCAGTTAGTTATATGTCACCCTGAACACCTAAATTCGACCAATCATATATCAAGGGTCATCTGTCAATCAAATTTTTCGGTCACAGCATCTTGATTCATATGTTGCAGCTAATATACACAACGTTTGAAATAAGAGTAATTTCCTTTCCCATTGAGTTCCGTCCCAGTGTTCACGGGGATGGACGTCTGTGTCTTCAGCAGGCGTAGAGCTAACAGAACTGGCAGCGTTGTGAGGCAAGGGCTGTAAGCCTTCTACACCAAACCAAGCTTCTGCCGCCATGGCGTCCTCTTCCACAACATCTTCGTCCCCACCTTTCTCCTCTAAATAAAAAATGTATGATGGAGGAGACTCATCCACGACCTCCGACACTAAACTCTTCTCCTCTTGCATGTTTCCTCTGTCCATAGCGTTCCTTGACAGTGTCGTTTCTAAGTCACCAATTTAGTGCTACTTGGCCCCAATGGAATTTCCCATTGGGAACCTACTAGCACTAAGTTGCTAACTGGTTAGCAGGATGCTTCCGAAAAACCAGCCACAATCAAACTTGCCTGCTAACTTTACACCACAACAATCGACCAATCACATTCACTTTATTCACTCGTGTAAAGTCGGGCACCACTTGGGAGAATTCAGAAATGCAATGGTTGGAACAGCCGACTTTAAGTGGCTGCGTGTCGCCACGGCTACAATGTATCTATATTGTTATCTTTCTGACATTTGAATTCCATTTAATTGCAACAACAGGCACGAATGATGACCGGCGCAAATTTTCACTGTCACTGACCATAGCGACATGCAGACGAAGAGCCCCACCACACAAGTAAAAAACAGAAGCGACAATGCAGGTACAGGAAGGAATGGGAGGGGAAATATTCATGGATTACCAATTCATTGACAGATGAATCGAAGGCTTTCTGTAAACTGTACAGAAAAAAGTTTGGCGTTTCTCACGGTGGAGAGTTGGATGTGAAATTGCATGCTAGTAGTAAGTACTACTAAAGATTTGAATAGCATAGGCCTAGATGTGACAAGCTTGGAAAATGCAATTTTTTATTACTGTACATGTAAGTCAGCCTACCCACCCACCCGCGCACGCCCCATCCCGAATTTCAGCCAACCTCATAGGAGGAAAAGAGGAAAGAGGAAAGCCCGCCCCAGAAGTGAAGAGAAAGTAATCTTAAGAAAGCAGTTTGAAAATAATCAAACTTGTAAGATTGTATCTGAAATAAAGAAATTTTGAGGGAAAAAACTAAAATCTGTAAAAATAAAAACATTCAGAAAATAACATAAAATAAAAAAATAGAAACAATGGAAAATTGAAAAAATAAAACAATTAAAAAACATAAAATCTAAGAACAGAGCAAATCTACTCTTAAAACTTTTTTTTTTTGAGTAAGATTTTTCTCATTTCTGGATTACATATTTTTTTATTTCCATTTAGAAAATGTGTTTTTTCGTTTGCAACAATACTGGAACAAAGTTCCCTCCATATTCAGGACTTTTTTGCTGTGATAGCCTGTAATAAAATCCAACCCATTTAGCTTTAAAAGGAAGGAACTGAATAAAGTCAACTGGTGTCTAATCTCATCTCAGAGCAAATCTGTAACAGCCAATAAACTGTTATATGGCTGCCTAATCATCCTTTAGCATAATAGAAATGTCAGAATAAATGTGACCTGAAATAATCCAGAAAGTTAAATAAAGTGGATTACAGTGAGCAGCTCTGGGACCTTTAAACACACCTGCATCCTCGCTGGCTTTTTGTGCTCGAGCCTGCAGGACCTCTTCGCTGGGGGGCTCTTCTCTCCGATGCTGCTGAGCTGATAGAGGCACCAGGGGGATGTCTGGAAGTTTTTCTCTCCACTCTGAGCCGTCCTGCTCGATCAGCACTCGGGTGATTCTGGGTGGGGGGGGGGGCACCATGTTTGATCAGACCTTCATAAATCATTTGATGCTACTTTTGAAATCCAAAACATAAATGTCAGCCATTACTTCACTCATTATTTATCTACATTACTTTATTTTACTCTATCTTTGAGTGTTCGGGTGATTTTGAGCAAGTGGTGTTAACTTCCTCTAACCTAAGATGGAAGTACAACTGTATGTATTGCATAAAACTAAAGCACATGTACTTTATCAGCCATAATTATCCCCCAAGATAAAAAATAAATCTCTGCGAGACTCAATAAACTTGGGTGTGTTTATCCTTTTAAGTAAGCCTCTGGAAATGTAAAGGTTCAAACATTAGAGGTAGTGCAGATAAAGGAGTAAATGAGTCTTTGTGTTCATCTCAGCCGCGCTGACAGACTACCTGTTGACGCTGTCGTGTGCCGCCTGCACGCTGATGTCTATCTGCAGGACGGTCTTGTAATCCACGTAGGCCTTTCTGTACCGCTCCAGCGACTCATAAGCCATGGCCCGCCGCAGGAGGGGCTTGAGGGAGAATGGCTGCAGCTCCAGGGCTCTGGTTAGTATAAATAGAAAAGCACAAAGGATCAAGTCTGAGGCCTCTGCAACAAACGCAAGAGGTAGAGCTTGTGTTTATGTACCAGGATGAGGGTCACTTCATGATCCCTCGCTATCTGTGTTACTTAATACATTACATATCAGTATAGATCTCTAAACCTGGCTTCTTCTCTGTAATCCAGTCCTCTATGTAAGCATGTAAGTGTTTTAGGGCTTGTAAATGGGAGGTTATTTTCATCCCTCAGAGCACATCTCAGCACGCCTTCCTTTAATGACTGGGATCAGCTACTGTAGCTTCTCTCTCATCATGTTGGATTAGCCGTTCTCGCGCCTTTCTCACCTCGTGCAGTCCTGTATGCAGTCTTGGCTGTTGCCATCTTTCAGGTAGCACGCTGCTCTGTTCGAATACAGAATGCACAGATCCTGAGGACTGTCGATACCTGTGTGGAGAGAGACCATTTAAAGGTGGAATGACAGCAGCTTAAAAAGGTTTGCATGCGCCACTAATCACTGCACCATCTTCTAACGCTATTAGGCAGTTTATGGCGCAGGAAAGAAAATACTGTAGAGACTTTCATACCAGCTGGAGAACTTTGTGGGTCTAAAGATAACAAGAGCAAGTTTTCACGGATGAGTTCGAAAAAAACTGTTTTAGTTTGTGTTTATATCTCAATTTTTAGGTGTCCATCCTCGTAAAAAATTAAATATAAGTGAGTCAGTTTTTTTGTGTGTGTGTGTTTTTTTTGTGTTTTTCCCCTTGTTTTGAGAAGTTGTTTGAGAATTAATTTACAGATTAATTAAAGGTATAGTGGAGTTTTTTTTTTTTTTTTTTTAAAAGACCCACCCTCTCCACTTAAAAAAAAAATGCACATGCACAACCCTGTACCCGCTCATGAGAGGGAAGGCCTATTAAACGCGTCGAGAGCGTGCATGAACCATTTCTTCTTGTGCAAGCTGTTTAAGAGTTGCTGTTTGCATCGCTCATTCAGGCTTACTTTCCAAAAGAAGATTTTTCCACTATAGCCGGGCATACACTGTGGGATTTTTTCAATCGTTGCACGCAGCTACTGTACGACGAAACCACAGGGTTTCCAAATGCATGCTCTCACACTGTGCAGCACGATGCTCTGATGCAATCTACCTGCTCACACTTAACATCTAAAAACCACGTCAGACTCAGCTCCGACCGCAGTGAGATGGCGCTACTCAGACTCATCTGTCCAGAAGCCAAATGAGTAGGAAAGGAATATGAAGCTCACTAGAACGAAACACGCTACCATGGTAATTTGTGCAATTTTGAGCTGAAAGCCCTAAAAAGAAAAAAAAAGGCAACAACGTATTTGGACAAAGACAAGGCTGAGCAAACATGCTACTACAGTCTGTCAATTTTACAGAAAGAACTCCATTTCACTCATTGCACCCCCACCATGCTTCTGTGTTTACATCTGAGGGGAAGAAGGCTCTTTGTTTGCGCACTGAGCAATTAGCCCACGACCACCTTACGATGGCCGACTGAAGTTTGATTTTCTCCCAACTTCACAATTCCTGATCGGGAGGTGGTTGTGAGAGGCTGATTGCTCCTTGTTACCCCCTGTACTCTACATGACACACGATCACCATGAAAGTTGGCCCGATTGAAAAATTCTCGACCGACTGGAAAGTCGGCCCGAAAATGGCAAAAAAAATCGTACAGTGTCAGCCCGGCTTATGTCAGACTCACCGCTGGTAAGTGAAAATGAGGACGAGCACAAATGACGGCCTTAAGTAAACATATCAAAAGAATGATCGACAGTTAGGAGGACCACTTATTTAGATGATCCACCTGGAAAAAGAAAATCTTCGGCTATACCTTTAAGATGATTGATGTTTAGAATGAGAAAAACTAAAACTAAATTATCTTATTTTATGGCAACACAACTGATTCCATTTGCAGATCATCTTATTAATCTGCTCAAATTAAAGACAAATGCACTTATTTTCAGATCATTTTCTAATGTCATGTGTTATTTTGTTCGATACTAAAGCTGAACAATCAGATTTATAGATGCAGGGTCACTAATACACATACGACTCCCTAATGTTTGGTCAAACATCCTTTAGAGAGCTGCTGAGATACGATTCACTTGAACATTTTCAGGTTAAACTGGTTTTAAGTGTTTGGGATGTTTGACCTGTTAAATCATTCAGAAGTTTTAACCAACATGTCACTGAGGTGTTTTCATAATCTGAAAGTGCTGCTCTGTTTCATTATTCCATGTTTTGTCACCTCAGGCCCTCAGCATGATGCCACCGTACTGGCATGAGGCATTCTCCTCCTGATTCCCATGGATGGCTGATCTACAGGCTTATGCATAACCGCAGTCTCCTGAATCAGGTTTTCTACATTTAGAGAAACGTCTAAATGTAGCAGGACTGGAGTTTATTGCCCCTGAGGTGAAGTGATCTTTATCTTCACTGCGACTGCTCTAAATATACTTTTATCTATTGTAGCTGGCGGCATATTTCAGTTTAGCTGAAAGATTTTTTTGTTCTGCGTCTCACAAACCTGAGCGCTTTCCTTTCACCAGAGGGAGAACCAGAAGACAGAGGAGGACCAGTTTTGTGGAAAAACCAGACTGGAAATTCTGTTTTTTGCCTTGAAACCAACCAGTGGTGAAAAGCCAGATTCCAGACACTGTTATTGCCTCAAAAACGTTTTTGGTTTCTCCAAAACCATCTAAAGTACTTTAACCCAGTGTATCTGAGTTTGTGTGTTTTAAACTTTAAAGGAAACATAACTTCTGCACCTATTCCTGCTTTAAAAAAATCCATAAAGGTTGTTGCTGGAGTCTTTTCTCCAAACACAACATCCCAGTACATTTCAAACCAAACAAGACCCTTAAACAGAGACTAGTGTATCCTAAAAAAACGGAGAGGTGTATGCAGTTCAATGCAGTGAGGAATGCTCTGATCTTTATATTAGATAAACCAAACAATCTCTCCACAGACGCATGGCCCAACACAGGAGAGCCACCTTCTCGGGATGAGACGGTGTCCACCTACAGCTTATGGACAAAGGACATTCTTTTGAGGACCAGAATGTTCACATTTTGGACAAAGAAAATAAGGTGGTTTGAGAGGGGCATGAAGGAGGCCATCTATGTTAAGAAAGAAAAAACAACGTTAAACGGAGGGGGTGGATTCCAGCTGTCAAAAACCTATAATGCAGCAATCGAGTTAATTCCTTCATCAGCCCCAGCACCTTTACTGGGGAAGAAAAGAAATCGCCTATTCAACAAATCCCTTTAACGACCCCCCTTTCAGAGACTTAGACAGGTATGGAGCATTACAAGCTCACAAAAGAAGCCAAACGACCTCCATTCCAAAGTGGTGGACACCTTCATCTGTTTTAATTTGCATGTTTTCTAAACAAAAACAAGGCTTTGTTGCGCTACTGTATAAAGCCTCAAACTTAACGCTATTTCTGACATTTTGAATTGAAAACGCTTCCTGGATGGAAAAGGAAACGTCTTCAACCTTGGAAACAAAGTCCAACGGATTGTTTTTTTAACTTTTTTGGAATGACTATGACCTGGATGACTGAGAATCTTTACCAGCATCCATAAAGGTCATAACCAAGGAAAAAACAATAAAAAGGAAAAACAATTCAAATGCACACGTTAAACATTAACATCTTTTACTAGCATCCACCAAATGATCCAGAAAATTCTTGTTAAAAATAAGAGTTTCTCTTCTCAAAATGCAGCAGCTTCTCTTAGCAGCCAATATTTTTTTACGTTTCCTCTTTCTTAGCTCTTTTTTGTTAACATTTCATCACAGCGGCTGACTTATGAAGAAAGCCTGCCTGTTGTAGACGAAGCATCATTCCTCTGTTGCACTAAATACCAGCAGAGCAGCTTAGCATACCAGCTCTTCAAATCAAATCAGATTAGGGATAGCGACGCAACGCAGCAGCTATGATGATGTCTCAGCAAATGCTTTCTGTAACTGCAGCAGTAGAGAGCCTGCATGCATTATGAGACGTGTATGTCTGTATACACTCATATGAAGTGTAGAAGTGCTTCCACTATGAACCAGATCAACTCTGCATGCCTCCAGTGGCGGACGAGCTCTCTGCCATCCAGCCTCTCCCTTCCTGTAAAAAATGACAGCAGCAGTGCGACAGATCCAGGTTCACAGTGAGTGGTTAGTGGTCATGTGACCTGGACGGACCAAAGCTGAGATGCTTAGCCCAGGCTGAAACAGACAGAACAGTGACGCAGTGCTCAGGGCATACAGTCATTAAACGCACCACCAGATAAATGTACTGGCTGTTCCTGAAATAGCCATAGCTGCTGCAGCCACTGCAGGAGCTGACACTCCACAGCATTTCCCTTTGACAAAGGGAGACTTATGCATTTTTTTATTAAATATTTTCATTCAGATGATGGGGAATCAAAGAGAAGCACCAGCAGTAATGGCTGACACCTTCTAACCTTTGATTTTCAGCCAAAGTGGTCACCAAAGTCTCACTGGTGATTAAAACACAGAGAAAAGTCTTCGGCTAATGAGGAGACAAGAGGCGGTTTGATTCTGACTCATCCGTTTCTTGTTCCTACATGTTTATAACACATTTCTGACACTTCTATTCCAGCAGATCCCTGAAGTTAACTTCTCACACACTTACCTGCCACCTTAGATCTAATCACAGCAGGACGTGTCGACAGTGAGGACTCACCTGAATCGGCGTAGCCCTGAATGGCTTGTGAGTATTTCTCTAATGCGTCGGCAAACTGTCCATTTTTAAACAGCAGGTTTCCTTCGTTCTTTAGCCGGGAGAGGTGTGGTGGCAGGGCTCCGCACGGGGCGTCCAGATTGACAGTTTCCTCTGCCTTTTTCCCACCTGTAGCCGCCTTACTGCTGCTGCTCTTCTTATCACCTTGCGCCGAAGCTGTCGAGCCCCTCTTGCTTGATCCATTGGCCACCTTCTCCTTTGATTCCTCTGGGACTTTGTACTTATCAGAGGTCGCCCCTTTGCCCTTCCAGTGCCCGTGGTGCGAGTTGCTGGACTCGCTGTGTGGACCCCCGTCCCCTCTGCTGTGGGGCTTTTTTTGAGCGTTTCCCATGTCTCCCCTTTCAGCAGGAGCAGCTGAGCTCTCCTCCCCTCCCACAGGCTGGCTGGGTTGAACCGGACAGGCTAGAAGGAAGAGAGAGAGAGAGAGAAACCCACAGGAAAGAGTCAGTGGTTACGTCAGAGCTGAGGGGGAAGGGTTGAAACACAGCACACTTCAAACAGGGAGTTCCAGGAAACACTAACCCTGTGCAGTCAATTACGAAAGCTCTTAATGGGGGAGGGAATTACTCACATGAACATATCTTAAAAAAAATAATAAAAACACGAGGGACAAGGGGGAGGGGAATTTCCTCTGTCGCACTTATGTTGTCCCATTTTTAGAGCCCACAGAGAATCTCTGACAAATTGGCTTGAAGTTTTTAGGAGCTGCCGATGTGGTGCTGATGTACAAGATTTACTGTTAAGCCTCCTGAAAATATCCAGCAAGCTCCATCAACCGTTTCACAGCTAGCAGGTCTGAATGCAAACCTGTGCTTAATATGTTCAGGCTGGCCCACAGAATACTGAGAGACAATTATGGATTCTGAGTGAACTGTTCCTTATTCCTGAGTCCACATCTATCACACCTGTTCTCTCTCTTAGCAAGTCAGGAGTTTCTTTTGTTCTTTGAACAGCTGATTGGTAACAGTTAGTGTGGCCACTATTAAAATTAACATAAGAGCAGTCTGTTGGTATACTGATCACACAGGCAGCCTGCATGGATATAAAATACAGATGAGGCAAACATGGTGTTTGAGTTATTTTTAAACATTTATTTAAATAAAAGATTTTAGACGTGAATTATTGAAATCTTTTTTCATATTTGAACTTAGATTTAAAAATAAAAATCAACGGGCGTGCAGGTGGAGCAGTGGTTAGCGTGCACAACCCATTTCCTGTCAGCCTACGAGCCAGTAGTGCCATAAACCTCCCCCCAAAAAATAAAATAAAAATCAAATGCCTCAAAACCAATGGACAAACAGAAAAGTTGATAAACTCTTGAAATTGAAATATAGACTATTTCAGTGTAACTCGTTAGATATATACACGTATATATATATATATATATATATATATATATATATATATATATATATATATATATATATATATATATATATATATATATATAAACTGTTTTTTCTCACCCCTCGTGGGGTGGTATGTGACATCCTCATCCTCGGGTCCTCTACCAGAGGCCTGGGAGTTTGAGGGTTCTGTGCAGTATCTTAGCTGTTCCTAGGACTGCGCTCTTCTGGACAGAGGCCTCTGATGTTTTACCTGGAATCTGCTGTAGCCACTCTCCAAGTTTGGGGGTCACAGCCCCCAGTGCTCCAATTACCACTGGCACCACTGCTGCTCTTACTTTCCACATCTTTTCTAGCTCCTCTTTTAGCCCTTGATATTTCTCAAGCTTCTCGTGTTCTTTCTTCTTGATGTTGCTGCTGTCGCATATGTATATATATATATATATATATATATATATATATATATATATATATATATATATATATATATATATATACATATATATGTATATATATACACTCACCGGCCACTTTATTAGGTACCCCATGCTAGTAACGGGTTGGACCCCCTTTTGCCTTCAGAACTGCCTCAATTCTTCGTGGCATAGATTCAACAAGGTGCTGGAAGCATTCCTCAGGGAGTTTGGTCCATATTGACATGATGGCATCACACAGTTGCCGCAGATTTGTCGGCTGCACATCCATGATGCGAATCTCCCGTTCCACCACATCCCAAAGATGCTCTATTGGATTGAGATCTGGTGACTGTGGAGGCCATTTGAGTACAGTGAACTCATTGTCATGTTCAAGAAACCAGTCTGAGATGATTCCAGCTTTATGACATGGCGCATTATCCTGCTGAAAGTAGCCATCAGAAGTTGGGTACATTGTGGTCATAAAGGGATGGACATGGTCAGCAACAATACTCAGGTAGGCTGTGGCGTTGCAACGATGCTCAATTGGTACCAAGGGGCCCAAAGAGTGCCAAGAAAATATTCCCCACACCATGACACCACCACCACCAGCCTGAACCGTTGATACAAGGCAGGAAGGATCCATGCTTTCATGTTGTAGACGCCAAATTCTGACCCTACCATCCGAATGTCGCAGCAGAAATCAAGACTCATCAGACCAGGCAACGTTTTTCCAATCTTCTATTGTCCAATTTTGATGAGCTTGTGCAAATTGTAGCCTCAGTTTCCTGTTCTTAGCTGAAAGGAGTGGCACCCGGTGTGGTCTTCTGCTGCTGTAGCCCATCTGCCTCAAAGTTCGACGTACTGTGCGTTCAGAGATGCTCTTCTGCCCACCTTGGTTGTAACGGGTTGTTATTTGAGTCACTGTTGTCCTTCTATCAGCTCGAACCAGTCTGGCCATTCTCCTCTGACCTCTGGCATCAACAAGGCATTTCCGCCCACAGAACTGCCGCTCACTGGATGTTTTTTCTTTTTCGGACCATTCTCTGTAAACCCTAGAGATGGTTGTGCGTGAAAATCCCAGTAGATCAGCAGTTTCTGAAATACTCAGACCAGCCCTTCTGGCACCAACAATCATGCCACGCTCAAAGTCACTCAAATCACCTTTCTTCCCCATACTGATGCTCGGTTTGAACTGCAGGAGATTGTCTTGACCATGTCTACATGCATAAATGCACTGAGTTGCCGCCATGTGATTGGCTGCTTAGAAATTAAGTGTTAACGAGCAGTTGGACAGGTGTACCTAATAAAGTGGCCGGTGAGTGTATATCCATATATGCTGGATATATATACCGTATATATATATATTTATACGACGATTGGAAGTCATCATTCAAATGATTCAATAAAACTAAATTTAACATAATATTTAACATAAACAATTGATTTCCAACACATTAGCAGTGACTTGTCCTCCTAACTCAGTACTGTCGAGCCTTGACATGTTATTAACATAATTTACGACATCTAACAATAAAAATGGCCACGCCCACCTAGCATAGTTAATGTCTACATCCAAAGTTGTACCACCGTCTTTGGCTATGTGCGAAGAGGTACGACCGAGTATAAGGGCAAAGGCTAGAGATTTTCTTTTCCTCTATTTCAAGAATAAAGTCGTAACATCACGAGAATAAAGTCGTAATATTACGAGAAGAAAGTCACAATAAGAATAGTCCTAAAATTGTGAGAATAAAGTAATAATATTAAATGAATAAAGTTCTAAAATTACAAGACACAAGTTGTATTTTATAACAATTACAAGAAGCACTTTCTTCCCTAAAATATGGAATGTTGACTATTATGTGAAGTTATACTTTGGCTCTGGTTTGACAAATAAAGAAATCTTTTAGCACCAGCATCAAATTGGGCAGAATGTCAAAGTGGACTCAGGTTGCTGATTGGTGGAGCTGGTCAGCCATCACATGCTGGTCGGAGCTCCAAGCTTTCTTTCTGAAACTGGTTGTGGTATAATGACTGAATTCTCATAATATTACAACTTTATTTTCGTAATGTTACGAATTTTTTCTCAAAATAAAAAAAATTAAAAAATCTCTAACCTGGCCCTAATACTCCGTCGTAAAGAGGCACCTTCGTCTTCACTGACACCATTTTGTCTTATTACTTATTACTTGTCTTATATCACTCTAATGGATAAAGATGTTTTGTTTGGGATGGAGAAATGTGAACTTGTCAAAACAGAATTTTTAGATGTTGTTAACTTTTTTATTATTTATGGTAAATATCATATTCACACCTCCAAATATTTACAACAAAAACCAAATTTCCAGATATTATTATCTTCTATTAATATTTATATAGAATCCCTAAAATTGAGCTCAAATGCTAAAGCCATTCAAATGATAACTGCCCTTAAAGAATTGTAACCCTCGATTACAGATTTGATTTTGACATAGTAAAATGGTTGCTCTTTATTCTGTAAAGCCCTTTGGTGTTTTATCTGAGTGTAATTATTAATAGGAGATGGCTTCACCATTTCTAGGAAAAAATGGGAAATTTGCCTTGGAGATTCTGCTTAATAGTGCTGATCACTGGGGATTTAGAAGTGGGTATACGCAATGCTGATTGAAAAATAAGTGTGTAAACCCCGTATACTCACGCAGAAACCTTAGAAAACCTTAAATTTAAAATTATCGTCTCAAAATAATATCATGTTAATGCAAAAAACCATAGCTGTATCTATGTACAATTTAAAAGAAAGGTTTTGGATTGTGAAAATATTGTCTTGTGAGGTTTTACTATAACTTTATTAAAGGACAGATTATTTCATGCTAGCCCTGAGAACTTACTTTTCATTCATAAATATGTGTAAAGACAAAACCTGTATTTTTGGTGTGGCTGCTTCAGGCTCCTCATGAGATCATCAGTCTTTTAATGGTTGTGCTTTAATCTGAATATAGAAATCTTACTAAACTTTTTTAATAATGACACAGATTTTAATACTATATATTTATGCATTATTTTGCTGTTTACTGCTGGAAAATGAGGGAGAAGATAAGGATCATTTATTTAACTGCTGGGTTTTCTTTTCATATTTGCAATATATAGTGGGACATATCTTTTGGTCTTCTTTTGGGCCCCCCCTCAGTCAAGGGCCCTTGGAATCTTCCTAACTTTCCCCCCATATGGTCTAGGACTGCACCAGTGCACTTAATTAACTTACAACAAAGGTTTTTCCTCTTATATGCAAAATTTTATGTGAGTGAGTGGGTTGTTTTTTCAGCTAATGGCTAATGTTAGATTCTCTATACTCCAGTTAATGTTTAATTGATTGCTGAATTAGTTCACAATTACTTTAATAATGATTAATCACAATTAATCCTGGCATAAAAGGACCAAGCAAGTCTCCATGTGTAAATCTGTAAATTAAAAATGTTGATGTGTGGTTTTAGTCTCACCTTTCTGCTCCTTCTGTTCTTTTTCTGCAAAGCTCAGGTCTTCCTCTACCTCTTCAATTAGGATTTTCTTCCCTTTGCTTCGCTGGCTTGGTTGACAGTCTGACATCTTCTGCTCAATTTTGGACAGAAGTTGCTAAGCAAACAAATAAAATAAAATAAAACGCATTGGAAGTGATTAAAAAAATAAATAAAAACAGGAATATTTAGTTTTTGCATTTTAAATTTGCATAGTCACATAATTTATACGGCAATAATTAACTCTGGTTGCATACAAAGTTTTACCAAAAGATTACCATGTCCTGCTAAAGTATTAGTTTTTCTTATTTGGATTTGCTCAGTTTATTAGTAAATAATGTTATTTGTGTATATTTACAATAACAAAGGAGCTGTGATGCTTTACATGTGACCAGTTTCCAGTCAGGTTTCAAAGCACATCAAGGAGACTGTTTTGGTTAAGGTAAGTGACATCCAAATAAATTCAGACTTTGGAAGAACCACAGTGCATTTTCCGACCATAGGACAGATCTAGTTAGCTCACAGCTTCAGCTGCTTCTGCTAAAATCCACTGATTATGGCCGAAATCTAGGCGTCATGATGGACTCAGACCTGAACCTTCAGAGGCACGAAAAGGCAGCTACTAAGTCAGCATTTTATCCCCTGAAGAACATTTCCAGGATTGAAGAACTAATGTCGAAGCAGGATCTAGAAAAACTCATTCATGCATTTTGTAGAATTGATCACTGCAACAGAAAGCTGATCCAAACTTTTTTGCACCAAGAACTACAGGTGCTGGTCATAAAATTAGAATATCATGAAAAAATAGATCGATTTCAGTAATTCCATTTAAAAAGTGAAACTTGTATATTATATTCATACATTACATACAAACTCATATATTTCAGATGTTTATTTTGTTTAATTTTGATGATTACAAATGACAACAAATGAAAATCTCAAATTCATCATATCAGAAAATTAGAATATTACTGAAGACCAATAAAAACAAAGGATTTATAGAAATGTTGGCCAACTGAAAAGTATGAACATGAAAAGTATGAGCATGTACAGCACTCAGTATTTAGTTGGGCCTCCTTTGGCCTGTATTACTGCAGCAATGCGGCGTGGCATGGAGTCGATCAGTCTGTGGCACTGCTCAGGTGTTATGATAGCCCAGGTTGCTCTAATAGTGGCTTTTAGCCCTTCTGAATTGTTGGGTCTGGTGTATTGCATCTTCTTCTTCACAATACCCCATAGATTTTCTATGGGGTTAAGGTCAGGAGAGTTTGCTGGCCAATTAAGAACAGGGATACCATGGTCCTTCAACCAGGTACTGGTAGCTTTGGCACTGTGTGCAGGTGCCAAGTCCTGTTGGAAAATGAAATCTGCATCTCCAAAAAGTTGGTCAGCTGCAGGAAGCATGAAGTGCTCTAAAACTTCCTGGTATGTGGCTGCGTTGACCCTGGACCTCAGAAAACACAATGGACCAACACCAGCAGATGACATGGCACCCCAAACCATCACTGACTGTGGAAACTTTACACTGGACTTCAAGCAACGTGGATGAAGTGCCTCTCTTCTTTTCCTCCAGACTCTGGGACCTTGATTTCCAAAGGAAATGCAAAATTTACTTTCATCAGAGAACATGACTTTGGACCACTCACCAGCAGTCCAGTCCTGTTTCTCTTTAGCCCAGGCAAGACGCTTCTGACGCTGTCTGTGGTTCAAGAGTGGCTTGACACAAGGAATACGACAGCAGAAACCCATGTCTTTCATACGTCTGTGTGTGGTGGTTCTTGAAGCACTCACTCCAGCTGCAGTCCACTCTTTGTGAATCTCCCCCACATTTTTGAATGGGTTTTGTTTCACAATCCTCTCCAGGGTGCGGTTATCTCTCTTGCTTGTACACTTTTTTCGACCACATCTTTTCCTTCCCTTCGCCTCTCTATTAATGTGCTTGGACACTGAGCTCTGTGAACAGCCAGCCTCTTTAGCGATGACCTTTTGTGTCTTGCCCTCCTTGTGCAAGGTGTCGATGGTCGTCTTTTGGACAACTGTCAAGTCAGCAGTCTTCCCCATGATTGTGTAGCCTATAGAACTAGACTGAAAGACCATTTAAAGGCTTTTGCAGGTGGTTTGAGTTAATTAGCTGATTAGAGTGTGGCACCAGGGGCCATCAATTTTGAACCTTTTCACAATATTCTAATTTTCTGATATGATGAATTTGAGATTTTCATTTGTTGTCATTTGTAATCATCAAAATTAAACAAAATAAACATCTGAAATATATGAGTTTGTATGTAATGTATGAATATAATATACAAGTTTCACTTTTTAAATGGAATTACTGAAATCAATCTACTTTTTCATGATATTCTAATTTTATGACCAGCACCTGTAGAACCACAAAAAAGAGAAGCAGCATTTGGTTTCTATGTTCCACTGATCTGAAACAAACTCCCAGAAGACTGTAAGTGCTGTTTAAAACAGTTTAAGGTTGTGGTTCCACAGTTTTTTTTGTTTCACAACCTGCTTTTATCATGTTTTATGTGTTTATTATATGTTTATTATGCACCTGTTTTCCTTCTATTTCGTTTTTTAATTCATGTAAAGCATTTTGAATTGTCTTTGTACTGAATTGCGCTATATAAATAAACTTGCCTTACACATCTGTTTATGTCTGCTGTTCGCTCCCAGTTCTGGAATTCTATTTAGGCTCAAAACACTATCAGGATGGGGGATTGGTTTAGGCCTATATCACCATATTATATTAATAATTACATTTTTTGTATATCTGCTTTTTTTTCTGTATGTCTGCTACTGTCCCCTCAGCAGATGGCCGCTCACACTAAGCCTGGTTCTGCTGGAGGCTTATTCCTGTTAAAAGGGAGTTTTCCTCTCCACCATCTCCACAAGCATGCTTAGTGTGAGGGATTGCCTTCGAGTCAATGAGTCGATGCAATCAGCTGGTTTTCCTTATGTAGAAAACTTTGAACCAGTCTGACTGGATGATCTGGTTGAACTGACTCGGTAAAGTGACTTAGACAACGTGTTGTGAATTGTCGCTATATAAATGAACTGAATTAAATTGTAACTGCATTTTATGTGACTATGCACCTTTAACAAAATGAAAACCTCAAAGTATTTTATCAGGATCTTATGTAACATGATAGAAGAGCCACCCAATTAAAAGAAATTAAAAATATATATATTTTAAATGTTTTTTACAATTAAAATATGAATGGTGTGGCATTGGTTTGTCAATACATGAGTCAAAACTTCTGGAGAAGAACGGAATTTCCAAACAAGTTCCATGTTTTTTTCCAGGTTTTCTTCGGTGATCACCATTAATTTAACATCTAGTTATATCAAAACATTTTAATCATGTTTTCCACATCATGATGCTGCCACCACCATGAAACGTGTTAGTTATCAACATGGCTACTAATACATGGGCAGGATTGGAGCACCTTCTCCTAAACAGCTTATCTCTGACCCACTTTGTGTGTGGTTCTGACATTACTCTACAGGGTACTATCACTGCTGAAAGTGGCTAAATAGATGTTTTCTCATATAGTTTATCTTTATAATTGGAAATAAAATAAAAAATAGTTTTAAGTAGTAAGAAAAGTAGTTTGCCACCATCAGTGTGTGAGTGAATGGGTGAATGACTGAATGTAGAGTAAAACACTTTGGTCGTCCTCTGACTTGAAAAAGCGCTATAAAAGTACAGGACATTAAGCATTTCAAATACATTTTTTTCATATATATTTTAAAATAAAGATTTTACTTTTTATGCTTTGAAATGTTTTTCTTTTTTTTTTCTTTTACAGATTTCATATTTTTAATTCTTTTTTAGTCTAAGTTTGAGTTTTACAAACTGCATTCTTTCATTGAAGCCCAAGAAAAATGCTCACCCTTAATGAGCCAATTTACCAAAACAACATTGCTGCAAACGTCCATGCAGACCAAGAGTAAAAAAAAAATTAAGTTTAAGATCTATTATAATTTTTGTTTTATGTATAAAATTTGTAAAACAAGTTTTGTGGAAAAAAGAAAAAAGGAAAACTTGAGAAATAATCTATGAAAAAAGGATTTGAAAAAATGTTTTCGGTTGAAAACTTTTTAAATTTTAGATCAGGATTGCTTTTTTTTTTATATAACAGGTTCTTTGCGTGCAATGATAATTAAAGAAAATTCACTCCATAAGGCCATTAATCTAAACCCCATGCTCTCATTAGTAAGTGAAATGTGGTCTGCTGGCACCAACTGATCGTTTCTCATGTTTTGGTCACCTACAGTTGCCGCAGCATTGTTCGGCTCTTCCTGAAGCACCTTCCTCAGGTCTTTAGAGGCCATTTCAAAGTTGCCAATATTATTGTAAACAGTAGCACGCCGCAGAAGGGCTGATTAAAAAAAACAAAGTACATAAATTAGAAATAGAAACCAATCTAATTCAATTAAGCTTCAAACATGTATGCAAAATCCTCCAGATTTAGAAGTCTTAAAAACAGAGCACCTTTTTTATTCCCTGGTTCCAGCTCCAGCACCTGCTGACAGTCTCTCATGGCATCGTTCCAGTGCTCCAGGTAAATCTCTGCCTGGGCTCTGTTGTTATATGCACTCAGAGTGGGAATGATGGAAAGGCTCCTGTAACAAAACAAAACAAAACCACTGCTTACCAATGAGTTTAGTGCACACAGATTAAACCGGGAGTTTTTAATACATCACATACAAAGATAGAAAACCTTTTTTAAATAAACCGGACTAAACTTTTGTATTTTATTTGTTGGTAAAAATACCAAATTTGGTTTTATGTACTTAATGTCAGAATAATAATAATAGTTATTTTGAGGCTTCATTGCTTTTCTCAAAATCAAAACTTCACAAAAGTTTTTTTCATTTTTAGTAAAACCTCCTTCTTAAACTGTATAACCTGATTCAAACTTTTCTTCAACAAGCCTCTAACACTGATTTCCTCCGCTGATAAAACTGGTGTAGCTAACCACTTTTCTAGGCTATACTTTTTTGTAGCACTTTGGAAAAACCAGTTAGCCTGAGAGCAAGCCGTAGTTTCTCAGGATGACTTCTTGAGATGTTGCTGCAGCATTTCCAGGTAATGTTGATCCTACAGTCCTCGTCAGTCTTGCAAGCTTACCAGGATTTTTCTTCCAACCGTAGGAATGGACATTATGGCTGGAGACTTATTTTAGTTTCATTAAACCACAGGATATCACTCCATACATGTCCCCGTCATCACTAAGATGTTGTTTTTTTATGTTATTGTTGAAGAGAAAGCTTCCTTATATCTGAGATAGCTTCCTTATGTCTGAGTGGCCTTTCAGGCTTCATCAGATATTTTCCTATGTAGGATAATGATCAGCTTCTTCATAAGGCCATCTGCTTTAGTTTTAAAGTTGATAATCAAGTCTGAGACATTAATGCCCCCCTCCAGGATGACACAACAACTACTTTCTTGATGGAGTTGGGTCTGTTTTTTAGTGTTTAGTCCTCTTTCTCCTTCTGTTTCTCTCCTAGACATATCTATAGGCTCGGCTTTTGCTGTCACTAACAGCATGTGTCCTTATTATTGAAATGAAAAGCAGCCCAGAGATTATCTGCCTAATTGTTTCCTAGACAGAACCTCCTGTGGAGCTAGTTGAAGTTACCTTCTCTAGCATAGAGAAGGTGTCTCTACTTCGTTTTAAGCCCCCAGTCAGCCTCAACATAAGGTTTCTGACAATGAATCTGGTTCTACTGGAGGTGTCTTCCTGTTAAAAGGGAGTTGTTCCTCTCCACTGTTACTGCATGCATGAATGGTGTGAGGGATTACTGCAGAGTACATACAGCTACAGCTCAATGTGCACAACGAAACCGCATGTTTAAAAAGTTCACAGCTCACAATATATGTTATCACACTGTGCGGCCCGACGCTCTGATGCGAGCTACATGCTCACTCTGCACGCCCATAAACCACATGTAGGATTGAGTACCGAGAGATGGCGCTGACCGGACTCGTCAATCTGTTTTCACATGCGCAGTACTCGAGGTTCTGGTAAATCAGCTCATAGCTCTGCTTCAACAGCAGGATTTTCCCACAACCACCTTACTGTATGACGGCTGACTAAATTTCAAACGTGTTTGATTTTCTCCCGACCTTACGATTCCTCATCGGGAGGTGGTCATAAGAGGCTAATCGCACCTCGTTACGCCCTGTATATTACATGACGCACAGTGAGGCTTAAACTCGGCTCGATCGAAAAATTCTCACACGACTGGAGAATCGGCCCAAAAAAATGTACAGTGTGAATATCTACTATCGCCACATGTTTATTGAGGAGGAGCGGATCCTACAAAGTCAATGACTGGATACAATCTGCTGATTTTCTTTAGATAGAAAACTTTGAACCAACCTGACTGTATGATTGAACTCTTAAAGTACCTTTAGATAACGTGTTTTAAATTGTTGCAAGAAATAAAGTGATTTAAATCAGAGCACATCTCCTTTATAAACAATATGATGGCCTGACAGTCCTACGTGGCTCTTTTATTACTTATAACTCAAGGATAGAGACTTATAACTTGAGTTCAATACAGGAACGCATCACTTTCCTATACTTTAGGACTGTAGCCATACATGAGAAGACTTGAGGAAATGTGACAACTTTGTTTATTTCTCATCTTTCCAATGGTGTCAATAAAAGGAAGTGGAGGGTTTTATAGGTGTTGTCAACCACAAGTGTTTGGCTGATGGAACCAGATTTTCTCCGTATTCTGGATTTTTATATAAAGCAAAAATTGTGTTCATTTTTAATGGACCTAAAAGAGAAAAACCTAAAAGAGATTTTAACTTTAGACTTATTTATTCAGCGCCATTTAAAAACACCTCATCTGAAGGCACTTTGTTCACCAGATCATACAGTCAAATTGACTCAAAGTTTTTTATCTAAGGAAAACCAGTTGATTGCATCGACTCATTGATTCGAAGGCAATCCCTCACACTAAGCATGCTTGTAGCGACAGTGGAGAGGAAATACTCCCTTTTAAAAGGAAGAAACCTCCAGCAGAACCAGACTCGGAGTGAGCGCCCATCTGCTGAGGCCGACTGGGGTTCAAGCAGACAGAAGAAACTGTAAAAGGCGGCCCCGTCCAGGAAACACCCAGCCAGGCAGACGAGCTCTGAACCAGCTCCCATGTCAGAGGATGAGAGAGCACAATAGTTTATATCCCTTCTTATATTGTGTTTGTAAACTTCTAATTTTGACTGCATCAATTTCAGTTAATAACAAATATTAAGTAGGGAATAAAATCAAATCCCATTTACTCAGATAAAACATTATTTGTCAGCACTTTGTAGAATAGGGAGGTTCTTTATGGTGCTAGTGGAACCTGACCTGGAGTAGTAAGCCACCGCCTCTTCGTAATCTTTTGCTCTGAAAGCTTCATTGCCTTTATCCTTCTCCCGATTTGCCAGAAGGAGCTTCTCCTGCTGTGACAGACCTGGATCACACAGCAAACACATTTCACACAGACACTCAACAGCATCAACACCACATTAATCTGCAAGAATGACATTACATGAGGAATCCACTTCTCTCTGGATGTTCGGATGTCCTGTGTTTAGAATGGCAGGTGGGTCATTTTTCTGCATATCTCCATCTATCTTGTTGCATTCCTCCTCAACGTTGAACCTGGAAATAGAAACACTCCATCATTACATTGAGGCATCTTTATGTTTAGAGGTGAAGGTGCAGAGAAATGGCTCACTTGTCCCATTCCTGATAATCCCGAGGAAGAAAACGCTTTGGAGGATTTGTTCTTTGTTTTGGAAATGATTTCTGAAGCAAAAAAGCAGCTTTTTAATTTAAAATGTATGTAAATATATATATGCTGCACATTAGTTAAAATGAACTTACCTCTTTAACCGGAGCAAAGCACCTAGAACTTCTTACTGGAGGTATTTTTGCTCTGTCCAGGTCATCAAACACAGACTCCTGTTTAAGCAGCGTTTCAGCGTTTTTGGTCTCCTCCTCCCATGTCTGCCAAAAAAACAAAGAAACTCATAACATTATGTTTATGACAGAAAACTATTCTTCATAAAGCATTAAAACCACAACATGCTGAGTATCATACCCTTAAGTCATCAATGATTTGGTTCCACTCATCTTTAGAGAAGCTGGCCTCTGTGGCAACAGGAACTCCCTGCCTGAGAGCTCGACTCTTAGGGCTCAGCTTCTCCAGGTGGCTTTCACAGAACTTGATCAGATGGGGATATATTCCCTCTTCACCAGACCTTGGGATGAAATAAATCCTACATTATCAGACTCAAATCCATCCGGTCAATATTGCTCATCTATTCTAAAATTATTTATTAATAAACAGTAGAACCTGTATGGTCAAACTGACTGTGGAAACAACCTCTAAAAGCTGTTCTCTGTACAACATAATCCTGCTTAATTAACTGAGACTTTAAAGACTTAAAAAGAAACTCTGTTTGCTCCTTTACCAACGCAGGATGGGAATTGAAGCCACAACTTTCTGATTAGGAGTCGACTACTTTTACCGACGCCCCGAAATTATTCAATTCAATTCAGTTTATTTATATAGCAGCAATTCACAACACATGTCATCTCAAGGCACTTTACAGTTCACCAGATCATACAGTCAAATTGATTCAAAGTTTTCTATCTAAGGAAAACCAGTTGATTACATCGACTCATTGACTCGAATGCAATCCCTCACACTAAGCATGCTTGTAGCGACAGTGGAGAGGAAAAACTCCCTTTTAACAGGAAGAAACCTCCAGCAGAACCAGGCTCAGTGTGAGCGGCCCTCTGCTGAGGCCGACTGGGGTTCAAGGCGACAGAAGCAGAGATACAAAAAGCAGCTGTAAAAGGCGACCCGGTCCAGGAAACATGCCAGAGGATGAAGAGAGCACATCCAGCCAGTCACAGTCAGAGAAACAGGACTGGTCTGTTCCTGTTTGGCTGTGACTCCATCCTGGAGGAAAATATCAGCTGTGGTGCTGCCATCAACACCTTAGTTTATAGATGTTGGAGATCTGCCTGTTTTTCCAGTGTAGTCCTTTTTCTCTGACTGTGACTGGCTGGATGTGCTCTCTTCTTTGCTAAAGATTGATGATTATAACATTACCTTAAAATTCGTAATATCTTTTCCAGATATTTTACATCTTTGCATTTTGCAATGAAATCATAGTCCAGGTGCTCCATGGGGACCTTGGTACTGAAGTCAGCGTTTGGAAGAGAGAAAACTCCGTCAGCATTCATGGCTGAGAGAGAAGAGAAGGAAAAAAAACAGCTACTCAGTTTTTATGTGGAAACTATAACAACAACATCACACAAGCTAAAGTAAGGACTGTAACTCAACTAGCTTATTATATCTGGAATAATGAAGACATTAAACACAAAAATAAGAAATTTTTTGTACAGAAAATTGTTTAATAGAGGAATATTACTTGTAAGCCAAGTACTAAATCCAAATGGTCATCTACTGTCTTATTCTGACTTCTGTTACTTCTCCAATTTCCTGTTACTCCTAAAGAATATGCTTTTGATTTTGACACAATCCCCAGTGGGTCATTAAAGCTTTTTATCATCTTTACCTACATGTCAAATTCACTCAATGCCAAGTTTTGATCAAAAATCCATGTATATAGATTATTATTGTCCTTTTATAAGTATGAGAAAACAACCAAGATGTTGTTTTTTCAACAGCTTGTATATTTTACTGGTCCAGCATTTTTTAAAATATAAATTGAAGGGGATTTGGTTGATCCTTAAAAAATATTTAATAAACAAATAAGTAAGAGAAGCTTCTTTAAAAGTTATTCATAATGTTTATCCTGTTAAAATATTTTTGATAAAAGGATATAAATGGGATTTGGACACAATGTCTACTTTTTGTAAAAATAATGAAGAAAAGCTTATTCATCTTTTTTGGAATTGTAATTATACCAAAATATTCTGGAGATATGTCAATTTTTTTTTTCATTAAATAAATCTTAATATTACTCTAACGAATAAAGATGTTTTGTTTGGGATGGAGAAATGTGAACTTGTCAAAACAGAATTTTTATATGTTGTTAACTTTTTTATTACTTATGGTAAATATCATATTCACACCTCCAAATATTTACAACAAAAAACAAATTTCCAGATTTTATTATCTTCTATTAATATCTATATAGAATGCTTAAAATTGAGCTCAAACGCTAAAGCCATTCAAATGATAACTGCACTTAAAGAATTGCAAACCTGGAGTACAGATTTGATTTTGACATAGTAAAATAGTTGCTCTATATTCTGTAAAGCCCCTTGGTGTTGTATCTGAGTGTAATTATTAATGTTCGATGTTGTTCTTGTATATTCATCGATGAAGTATTAGGGCCAGGCTAGAGATTTGTTTTTCTTTTATTTCTTGAATAAAGTCGTAACATTACGAGGGTAAAGTTGTAAAATTCTGAGAATAAAGTCATAACATTACGAGAAAGGTTAGCCATAACATTACTAGAAAGGATATTCATAAAATTACGTGAATAAAGTTGTAAAATTATGAGAGCAAAGTCATAAAATAATGAGAATAAAGTCTTAAAATTACGAGAATAAATTCATAAAATTACGAGAACAAAGTCGTAAAATTACGAGAATAAAGTCGCAACAAGAATAGTCACAAAATTACGAGAATAAAGTTGTAAAATTACCTGAATAAAGTCGTAAAATTACGAGAATAAAGTTGTAAAATGATGACATTTAAGTCATAAAATTATGAGAATAAAGTCGAAAAATTATGAGAATTAAGTCACAACGAGAATAGTCACAAATTTACGAGAATAAAGTCGTAAAATTATGAGAATAACGTTGTAAAATTGGGAGAATAAAGTTGTAAAATGACAAGAATAAAGTCATAAAATTACGAGAATAAAATCATAAAATTACGAGAATAAAATCATAAAATTACGAGAATTAAGTCGTAAAATGAGGAGAATAAAGTAGTAAAATTATGAGAATAAGTCGTAAAATTATGAGAATAAAGTCACAAGAATAGTCACGAAATTACGAGAATAAAGGCATAAAATTACGAGAATAAAGTCATAAAATTATGAGAATAAAGTTGTAAAATATTAGAATAAAGTCGTAAAATTATGAGAATAAAGTTGTAAAATGATGAGAATAAAGTCACAACGAGAATAGTCACAAAATTACGAGAATAAATGCATAAACTTATGCGAATAAAGTCATTAAATTACGAGAATAAAGTCATAAAATGATGAGAATAGTCACAACAAGAATAGTCACAAAATTACGTGAATAAAATCATAAAATTAATAGAAGTCATAAAAGTATTAGAATAGAGTCGTAAAATTATGAGAATAAAGTCATAAAATGATGAGAATAAAGTCACAACGAGAATAGTCACAAAATTACAATAAAGTTGTATTTACTCTTGAAAGTAGCCCTTTCTTCCCTAAAATGAGAAATGTCAAACATTATGTAACATTAAAGGAATAGTACACCCAAAACATGATTAGCCTTCATTTTCTACTCACCCCCATGCTGAACAACACTCTGGAGTACTTTTTTGATATCTCAAATGCATCTGGAGATCTGGGAGGCTTCTTGCTGTCTGCTGACATTCAAATAATGGAAGTCTATTGTGTCCGAGACAGAAAGGTCCATAAAAGTCCACAAAAAACGTGTCAATATTCCTCCATACTGCTCGTCCAATGTATTCCAAGTGTCCTGAGTGGGTAGCGTCCATAATTTACTCGAAACGAAGTCATTTAGAATGTTTTTAGCATAGATATCCATAATAAAGGCTAGATGTCTTACGGCGGAGTCTCAAACGTCATCACCAGCGGCCATCTTACCTCAGGCAGGCTTTCTGTTGTGCTCTGTGGTACCTAATGTAAGGCGAGTGATCAGCACGAACACAAATACTCTTATCTCACTGAATTCTTGACGGATTTACAAACAGTTTGGTTTCTTACAAACATTATGAACGTGGCTATAATTCTAGATGCTTGAACATGTCGAAATTGCAGATTTTCTTGTTGAAAAATGACTTAATCATGCAGCATAGTTGTGCATCACGGCTACTTGCGCAAGTTATCAAGGCTGAGACTGTTAGTCAATTATATAGGTTTTACTGACACCAATAACGATTGTATGACAATTAATCTTTGGTGTAAATTACAATATTTGTGGATGTGGTTGTAGTTATTAGTTGGCTAATAACAATAATCTGAGTGTTGTTGTATTTTCATTATTAGCCTAACGTTAGCTGGCTAATAACAAGAAGCTGCAAAGTGAGACCTAACGTTAGTAAGTTAGCAGCTAACGTTACAGTTTAGCTAGCTGCTAACGTTAACCAGCAACTTTACATCAGTAGAAGAGGCAGAATTGCACATGATTTCCAATCGATTTGGTTTGTCAAAACATCTTACATTATGTTACAGGAATTTGCTGGGTTTATTAAAAGGAAGATGCCAGACTTTTGCTATGACATAATAGTATTACAAGACTGTTGTTGACTCAAAGCTTTTATAAGTTTGTATTAGTTTCATTTGGACAACTTAAAGATGGTGTTGTGCCAAACATTTTCAACTTTCCAGCTCATCTTCAAAGGGTATGTGTATCATTGAAATTTAATCACATATTGATATACCAATCTTATACACTGTGAATTGTTGTTGGTCACTTTTGTTTTTGTTTCTGCAGGTTATATAATGTGTAAGCAGGAGGAGAAGATCTTCCATCCCCGTTTGCTGACATTCCTGCACTAGTACATGACCACAGCTACCTTCCTGTCCGCTTTGATGGCCTTGTGGACAACGCTCACTTGTACATTATACAGAAGCTCAATAAAACCGTCCTTTTCAAAGGGCATTAGCCAAGCTATGTTTTTTGGGTAATTTTTTAAATCTCTGTCTTCCATGTGTATACCATCACAGTAGTGTAGGTGGGGATTTCAACATGCTACATCTATATAAACTTGTGAAGGGGACTATTGTACCAATTTTAATAGCAAATAAATGTCACTTTTATAATGGTTTAAAAATAGGAACTTTTGTGTAATTACCCCTGATATATAATCCGAATAGTCTACATGAAACTTCAAAGTGTTACCTTTAATTTGAAACCTGGATTATGCTGCTACACCAAGAGGTTGCCACACAATAAGCCTTTTCTGTCAGTATTCCATATTTTATTATAACAATAATATTCATATTATAAAAGTATGTATGTAAATATAAATAAATTAGGACTGTGAAATAATTAATCACACCCAAATAAAAGTGTTTATTTATATATATATATATATATATATATATATATATATATATATATATATATATATATATATATATATATACATATTAAAATATATATATATATATATAAATGTATATATACATAATTTTATTTATATATATACATATTTATATATATATATATATATATATATATATTATATATATATATATATATATATATATATATATATATATATATATATATATATATACACATATTTATATATATAGGTATCTATATCTATATAGATATCTATATAGATATATCTATATATCATGTTGCCATTCAGTACACTGAGTTTTATTAGCATATATTGATTTAACATAAATACCTTGTGCATGTGTATATTTATTGCACCTGTATGTTCTATTCAATGTTCTTTTCATATGAAATACCATGGTTATAATTATTCATAAGTGTGCAGTATCATAACTACATGTCTGACTTTTGTTTAACAAACCAAACAATTAGACAATTCAGGAAGTTATGGTTATTTAAGTACATGCGCCTTTAAAACACAATGTTACGAATGAGCGAGCTGCCTGTAGCAAGATGGCCGCCACGTGCGGACGTCGACCCCCATTGGCCAGCAGCGCGGACGAGACATCTAGCCTTTATTATGGATATCTATGGTTTTTAGAGCATAAACAGTAGTGTATAGGATTTCCTGAAAGCGCGCGCCGGCGCGTTCATGACGCTACGGAAACCGCGGCAGACCAAACCAGATGAAAGTGCGCATTCAGCTCGGCAAAGAACTCATGCTCTTCCTCAACACTGAAGTCCTCAGACATTTTTCTTTCGTTGTTTCTTTCTTTGCACAGGTAAACAGCACATTTATTCTTCTACGCTTGCATTATCAGCAGAGCAGACGCTGAATGCGCACTTTCATCTGGTTTGGTCTGCCGGCTTCCGTAGCGTCATGAACGCGCCGGCGCGCGCTTTCAGGAAATCCT